TTCAGCCGGAGCCTGTGGAGTCGGGGCCTGTTTATTCTTGGCAGGAAGGCTGGTGCTGGGGGGGGCAGAAGTGGGGAGTGAGGCCTTTACAAAAAATAATAATAATAAAAACGCTCATTTAGAAGGCTCCCAAGGCGTGCCGAGCTCCAAAAGGGCCTTGGAAAAAATGCTGAGAGGGTTTAAGTGTAAATGGACCCAAAACACCATGATTAAATTTCCCTTAAATTTACCAGAGTTTGGGGTCAAAGAAAAAATAAAACTTAGGGAAAATACACTTGAGGTTTCAGGCAAATGCCAAGTGCTTAGGAAAATAGGTTCGGAGCTGCTCCGGCGGCTACCGGACTGGCCCCCGCCATCCTGGGAGCGTCCCAGCCTTAACCCCTCCCTGGCCAGCTCTCTGCTGCCCGCCCCTCCCGCCCCCCTGGGGGACTTCACCACCATCTCCTGCTGCTTCTGCACTGTCTGGGGAGCCCTCCTGTGCAGACTACAGGCAGGGAACTGGGGCCCCACGCCCCCAGGGTGGGCAGGAGCCTGCGGGAGCCTGAGCGTCCACCCCCCAACTCCACACCACTCTCCTGTGTCTGCAGACAGTTGTGGGTTCCTTCCTTTGCTCATCTGGGAGCAGCCACATTTTCCAAACCGAAGTCAGAACTTGAGGTCTAGTGGTCTGAGTGAACCAAATGGCAAAAAGGCCAGAGTGTTTGAACTGGGACCATCCCAGAATATCCAAGACGGCAGGCTCCCAGCAGCTCATGATTCATGGTGTTACCCTTTTTCCTCAGCCTGCCAGGAAGCTCAGAGTTAAAATTAAGGATCTTGCACAGTAGCTAGTGTTGGCTGAGGGATTTTGGAATATTTTTTCTTCTTCATGTTCTTTAAAATTCCATTTCTGTTATAGTGAGGATCTCAACTTTTTTTTTTTTTTTAACCCTCTTCAAATTCTCTGAGAATAAATTTGAAAGGCAAAGTCAGGCATAGTGCCTTACACCTGTACTTGGGAGGCTGAGGTGGGAAGAAGGCTTGAGCCCAGGAGTTTAAGACTAGCCTAAGAGCTAAGTGTAAACACGAGCTGAGATAGCAAGACCCTGTCTCAAAAACAAAATAGAAGCCAGCAACTACCCCTAAAGCATAGGAGCTGCGGCCCCACTCCCAGCCCAGCCCAGCTCAGCAGGGACCAAGGGCCCCACTTCCTCCATCCTATGGTGGCCTGTTCTGACCCCTGGCACCCAGCCCTGTGCCCTGCCAGTGTTCGAGGGCAGTGGTGGTTCTGGGAAAGGTGGTAGGAGATGGGGAGCTCCCAGGGGATCCCAGAAGAGACTTGATATCTCCTCGGGAATTCCATGTCCCGTCCTTCCATTTAGCCTCATGGCAGAGCCGAGGGAAGCTCCCGCCAGCAGCCCCAGCCCTAGGCCAGGCTCTGATCGCAGAGAGGAGCTGGGCAGGAGGCTGTCTCTGGGGCTTCCCTGCCCTGGGTTCCAGGTCTCCATGCCTCGGCCTCCCTGCCTGCCTCCCTGTCGGGGAACAGCGGCAGCTGCCTGCCCCGAGCACTATGCCGAGCAGGTGGTGCGGAGTCTGTGCCTGGAGCATCGCCTCTGCCGAAGGCCCCTTTGCCATTTTCCTGGCATTTTCAGGGCAGGCACAGGAGAGGCAGGTGTGAGCTGGGCTATGGCAGCCTGCCCAGGCCCCGCACCCAGGATGGGCCCCCCTCCCAGGCACCCTCTGCCGCTCACCCACACAGGCCCCAGCAAGCCAGGCCGCCCAGCTCTGAGTCACTGCCAGGGCTGGGCTGGGCTGGGCTGTCAGCACCACACGGCACTTGCCTCGGCCCCTGCTTCCCACATTTACCTTTGGGAGGACCCCTGGGTGTGGGCCTTAGGAGCTGGGTGGGGGTGCAGGGGGAGTGGGAGGTAAGTGTAAACCTGAGTCCAGCAGATGGGACGGTCCTGTACACCTAGCACCTGCTTGGAGGTGAATGTAGACCCTCAGCAGGCTCTCCCAGTCCTTGCCTGCCCCCTGGCCCCAAGGGCCCCAGAAGGGCCCACCTCATCAGGTGCCAGGAGGATGAAGCTGGGTAATATTGCAGTGTCTGTCTGTGGGAATGAATGCTTGGACAAGGGCACTGTGATAAAATTGTGGCTAGGGACACTAACATGCAGGCAGTCACCGAAACTCAGGAGCAGAGCAGCAAGCCTGGCCTCACCCGAGTGTCGGAGGAATGCCACCTGCACCTGTGGGCTTGGAAACGATCCATCTGAACAACACAATTATTCTGACAATAATAAACCGGGCTTTCTGGCAAGTCCTCCCCTGGTCCCAGTGGCCCTGGGGCAGAGTGGGCAGCAACTCCTTGCTGGTGGCCACGGGTGGCTCTAGGACCCTTTGGAAGCAATTTGGCAAAATGAGCAGAGCCCCAGAAATGCTCCTGCCCTTTGACCTAACTGCTCCCAGACAGCGCCACTGCAGAAACCACTCAGAATGTGAGGGCGCCAGAGGAGGCATCGACCACACGGGGCGTAGTGGGCAGAACGGCGACCCCTAAAGCACATGGTCACATCCTTCCCCCTGCAACCTGTGAATGTGACCGCATCTGGAGAAAGGGTCTCTGCAGGTGTAATTAAGGTAAGGATCCTGAGATGGGGAGATCATCTTGGTCATCCAAGTGGGCCCTATACCCGAAGACACGTATCCTTATAAGAAATGGAAGAGAAGATGGCAGAGTGGGAAACAGAGGCTGGAGCCATGCAGCCAAGAGCCCAGGGACACCAGGAGCCCCCAGGAGCTGGAAAAGGCAGGAAAGAGCCTCTGGAGAGCCTTGGGAGGGGGTGCAGCCCTGCCCACGCCTTGATTCCAGACATCTGGTCTTCTAGACTGAAAGAAAGTAAATTTAAGTCAACCAGTGTGCAGTGATTTGTGAGAGCAGCCTGGAAGTACAGGGTGCTACTGGAGGGAGAGGGGCTGGGCTGGGGCCAGGGCTGCAGGGCCACAGGGAGGGAGCACGTCTTGAAAGTGCCCCGTCCCCAGTTTTTCCTCCTGCCAGTGCTGCCCACGGGCCAAACCCACCCAGAAGCTGGAGAGCAAGGGCCGCTGAGAGGTGTGGTCTGCAGAGTCAGGCTTTCAGGGACAAATGGGAGAAGGACTGGGGTCGGGACACATGGGAACAGCCCCCTACTGGGCATTTTGGCCAAGGAGAGGATCATGGCGAGGAAGAAAGAAGAAAACTCTGTGCCCACAGATGCCCAGATGCTCCCCTCCCAGAAATCAGCGGCTGTGGGTGCAGAGAGAGTCAGTCCTTCTTGGAGGTACCAGGAAAAGAGCCTAGAGCTCCCCTGAGGCTTTCTGCCCACAGGTGGAACCCTGTCCAGCAGCTGGCCCCTGAGGGAGCCCCACCCCATCCACCAGCTCCTTCCCACAATCCCATCCAGCCCCCCCAGGGGAAGGGGCAAGACGGTCTGGGCCCACACTCATCCTGGTACTTTCAGAACCTGATGACTTAGCTGGTTAAGAGAGCTAAGGCCAGGTGAGGTGGCTCACACCTGCAATCCCAGAACTTGCAAAGGCCAAGGTGGGCAGATCACTTGAGGTCAGGAGTTCAAGACCAGCCTGGCCAACATGGCAAAACCCCATCTCTACTAACCATACAAAAATTAGCTAAGCATGGTGGGGCACACCTGTAATCCCAGCTACTTGGAAGGCTAAGGCAGGAGAACCGCTTCAACCAGGGAGGTGGAGGGTGCGTGAGCCAAGGCTGCCCCACAGCGCTCCAGTCTGCGTGACAGAGCAAGACTCCGTCTCCAAAAGAGAGAAAGCTAGCAGGGCAAACGTGCTGCTGTGTCTGGGTGATGGTGTCCTGGGGGAGGCCTGGCTGACAGCGGCCTGGCACTGGGCACCTGAGGGGCCAGAGAGTGCACTGGAATTTGGGGAGCCTGGACCCCAAGACGATCTGGGGACACGGCTTGGCCAGAGCAGGAATCAAGGGTAGCTGAGGACAGGTGTTGTGCCACAAATGGGCACAGAGGGATGGGTACGAGGGCTCCCTAGAAGCGGGGCCTTGTAAGGCCTGAGGTAAGCCCAGGGACACCTTGGCCTCTGGGAACTGGAGGGTGGGGCTGTGCATGGGTTGGGTGGGGTTTGCCTGGAGGTGGGAGCAGATGGCCTTTTCCTTGTGAGGGTGGACACAACAGTCATGTGGGATGAGGGGCCCAGACAACCCCAGCGTGCCCCACAGGGCAGCACCTTCCCCTCCTGTCCCAACCCTCCTCAGCTGGACTCCGCGCCCTCCCTGTGGAGCCCAGAACCTCTGGCAGGCTCAGGCTCTACCACCAGCTCCAGTCATCCTCCCTTAGAGCCGGGCTGTGCTCCCTGAGCCACGGGTCCCCAGCCCCTGCTCTGCATTCTAGGCCGGGCGGGAGGGCAGCCCTAGGCCTGTGTCCTCCTGGGGGGTGGGGAACTCAGGCGGCTCAGCTGCTGGAGGCCCAGGTTAGTCAACGCAGCTTCTGCACCTCTTCAGGTAGGCAGGGCCGCGCCGGGCCGCCCCAGGCCTGCGGGAACACCGGGGGCTGGGCCTGGAATGCCGTCCTGCCTCCTCCCCCTGAGGAATTCCAGCTCAGGCCGCAGGGTTCAGCTCCGCGGCCTCTCGGCGAAGCCTCCTGACATCCCGACCCCCACCGAGACCACCCCTCTGAGCGCCTAAGCACAGCCCCAGGGGACCCGAGCCGCGCGCTGTGCAAACAGAGGCTGCGCTGGCGCTCGTAGCGCTCAGTGCCCGCCGCCCCCTGAGCCGCCCCCTGAGCCGCCCCGCGGTGCGACCGGGGCCTCGCCCGCCTGCCCCGGCTCCCACGCCCTCGAGACCGCCGGGCGCCCCCGCCGGCCACGCCCCTCAAATGCCCCGCCCCCGAGGGGGCGTGTCTGGCTCCCCAGCCGGGCGGGGCGGGGAGGGGGCGGGGCCGGGGCCAGGGCGGGGCCGGGGAGCGGACCGTCCCCCACTGGCTGCGGCGCGCGGGGCAGCTCAGGCTCAGTGCGCGGTGGCGGCGGCGGTGGCGGCCTCGCGGGCAGCTGGCGCCGCGCGGTCCTGCTCTGTGGGGCTCACGGGCGCCCCGGCGGGCCGACGGCCGGAGGGACCGGGCGGGAGCTGGGCCCGCTGACCCCGAGCCGGAGCGGGAGCCGAGCGTAGTGAGCCGGGCTCGGGCGCCCGCCAGGTCTGTGCTGGGGCCGGCCAGGCGCGCGAAGGGGTCCGGCGGGGCACGAGGAGGGGCCGGGGCGCGGCGGTCGCGGAGCCACAGCGTTCCCTGCCGCGGGTCGGCCCCGAGCGCCGGCTTCCCGCTCCGGAAAGTTTGCCGCCGCCGCCGCCCTGGGAGAGCTCTGCAGCAGCCAGGGAGGGAAGGGGGAGGTGGGCGGGACCGCGGCGGGGAGGAGGCGGCCGGCGCCAGGCGGCCCGGGAGCCCCGGGCGGCGGCGGCGGCGGCGGGCGGGGCGGCCGGGGGTCCGAGGGTCCGGGCGCCGGAGCCGGTCACCGCCGCTTCGTCCGTGCGTGGCCCTGCCCGCCCCGCTGACGCGCTGCCCTCCTCCTCCCGCAGCCTCTCGAGCGGCTCCCGCCTCCCGCCTCTCGCTGGTGCCCGCGCGGGGCCGTGGGGGGCAGCATGCCCGCGAGCACTGCCTGAGGACGCCGCGGCCCCCGCCCCCGCCATGGGCGCCCCTGCCCGCGCCCTCGCGCTCTGCGTGGTCGTGGCCATCGTGGCTGGCGCCTCCTCGGAGTCCTTGGGCCCGGAGCAGCGCGTCGTGGGGCGAGCGGCAGGTAAGAAGGGACCCTCTGGGCCCGGGAGGGGCCGGCCCGTGCGGGCAGTGGCGTTGGGGACCGGAACCCGGCCCGGGTCGTACGGGGCGCCGCGTGGCAGTGAAGCCCCGGGGTCAGCGCCGGATTCCGTGGCCGTCTTCCAGGAGGGCACTCGTGGGGCGCCTGGAACCGCCGTCACCCCTCAAGTGCGAGGCTGCCGCGGGGAGCCCCAGGACGGGAGTCGGCGTCCGTCCGCAGCCCCGGTCCCCTGCGGCTCCCCAGCCCTGACCCATCGGGAGGGCGCGAGGGGGGGGCCCGGTTTTCACGATTCTCGCTGTTGTTCTTCGGGGGTCTGCGCAGACGGAAAGTTCCCATTGTTGGTGTCCCCCCTCCCCCGGGCCCCAGTTTGCGGCCAGCTTCGGCCAAAGCCAGAGGCCTGACTTCGGGGGGCCGGTGTGCGCGCGTCGGGGAAGCCGGACCTCCGTTCCTGGTGGCCCGCCCGACGGGGCTACAGCCTCCAGCGCCCCCGCTGCCGACCCTGCATCGTGCCCGGGGGCCGACGGCGCTTCCCCATAGGTGCGCGGGAGCTCGGGGCCGGCGAAGGGCGCGTGTTCCAGCGTCGCGGGGCCCTAGACCCAGGCTGGCGGTCCGGGTCCCGCGGGACATCGAGGGTCCGAAGGGAGGTCCCCGGGGCGAGGGGCGGGGAAGGGGTGCCCGGGCCGCCCTGCACACGCGCCGCGGTTCCTCGAGGGCCGGTCCGAGCGCTCCAGCGCCGCCGCCCCGTCCACGCGCTGCCGGCTCCGGGCGGGCTAGGGGGGCGCACGGCCCAGCCCGCGCGGAGGGAGGCCTTGGCCCGGTGAGTCTCGCCCCACCCGGGTCCCGGCCCGGGCCCGAACAGCCGCTCCTTTGTGCCTCGGCGCGGCCACAGACCGCGCATTGATGGCGGCGCGGCGGCTCGCGGGGAGGTGTGAGCCGCTGCGGGCGCGGCGGGCCGGGGAGGGCTCCGGGCGGGCCGAGGCAGATGGCGGTCGCCCCGCCCGCGCCCCTTTCTCCGGCGGCGGCTGCGGCCTCCCGGAACAATGTCATTTTTTTATGAATGAAAGTGGCCCGGCGCCTGAATGTGCGTGTCATTCAGCGGCGTGACAGGGGCCGTCGGGAGGTCAGCGCGCGCTTTTAGCGCCTGCTCTGGCGGCCCCGCTTCCAGGGGTGCCGGAGGGGCAGCCGCGGGGGGAGCCTGGCTCTCGCCTTAGCTTTCGCATTCGCATTTAGATAAAGATATTACTCCCCGCGGCCGGGGAATGTCAGCCAGCCCCGGGGAGGGGCGGCGGCCGGGCTGCAAGCGGAGCCTCTCCCGGACTCCTGAGGGCGCGCGGGACCTCCCCCACCGGCTCCCAGAACGGGAAGCGCCGCCGCTGCTGGGCTGGCCTGGGCACCCAAGAGGCGCCCTCTCCTCTCCCCACCCCCCGCCAGGCGGCGCCTCCTCCCCCCCTCCCCGCACTGGAGCTGGTGAAACAGGTAGTGAGTTGATCGGTCAGTAAACTTAATCCGGCTCCTTAACAAGATGGGCCGGGCAGTAAAAATACAAAGACCTCGTGAAATGTACGGAGGTCTAGGCTGGTGCTTGCCCAGGAACATAAATTGTGGAGCCTGAGCTGGCAGGAGTCAAGGGCAGTGGGGAAGGTTTTGGCCGCTGGACTGCCTGAGCCACCACATGCCCGGCCAGGGCAGCCTCCATCTCGCCAGGGGACCGTGTTCCTGGTTGGGACCTGGGGGTGCAGGGCCTTTCCCTAAGGTGCTGGTGGCCACCTCCCCTACCCCACCTCCCCTACCCCTCCTTTCCAGGGCTGGACTTTGAGCCGCGTGGGCCTCTGGGTGGTTCATTAACTCGGGCCGAGCCTGGCCTCCGGGTCCTTGTTTGAGCGTAGCAACCCCTGTTTACCCACCCCCCACCCCCAGCCCTCAGGTCTCACTTGGGGCTAGAACTGGGGCTGGGGCACCCCTTGTTACAGTTGAGCTTGGGTGGGAGCCCAGGGGCTTGGTGTCTCCTGGAGGATGGGGGTCCAAAGTCGCCCTGTCTAGAAAGGCAGCAGCCCTGAGCTGAGTGATTTAGGAGTGAATGAGTGGGGAGTGGAGCCAGCTTTGGTGGAGTGTGGGGGTTAGCCTGGACCTCCAGGCTGCCAGCCCAGGCTCGGGTACCGTCTTGAAACTTCGGTTTCCCCACCTGTCCAAGAGAAGCCGTAGTGGCTGGCTGCTTGAAGGATTAGGTCTGAGAATCCTGGCGAGCTGTCATTAGCGTGCCCAGCTTCGGATCCCTGTTTTCCCGTCTTTATTGTGAAGCTGACAGGAATGTCTCCAGGTAGACAGGAAGGGAGGCTGGACTCTTGCTTTTGGCTTCCAGGTTTTTCCAGGCACCTCATTCTCTTAGGCTATGTTATAGCCCTTACCTGGCAATACTTCTGTACCCCAGAGAGCTGCAGAGCGCTTCATGTGCATCCAAAACCAGAACGTGGGGTTCCCTGACCCCAGGCCCTCAGCTTACCCCAAAACCCAAGTAAACCCCTCGGGGTAGCCAGCTCTGGACTGGAGTCTGAATTCCATCCTTGCTCTCTGGGGCCAATCCAAGGGGCTTATGATGGAGCAGTGCTCCCCAACCCTCTCACCCGGGCTCCCCACATGCACTGGGCCTCCTCTGCAGTGCCCCAGAACCTGGAGAAAGGTTCCCCAGGCCGGAGTGTGACTGTCGCCAACACCGTGGCCTGATGGACATCAGTTCCGGGTCAAGGGGCCCTGGGCAGGGAGTGCCTGTCACCCCTCGCTCCTCCAGCCACTTAGCAGGGTGTGGTGGCCCCTGTGGTCTGTGAGGTGGGATTTTATATTGTGCCACAGTGGGGAAACTGAGGCACAGGACCATGACCCCCAGGTCCAGCACGGCCCTTTTGGGACACAGCAGAGGGCTGTTCCCAGCACGTGGGGCCCAGGTTGAGGTGGGCACTGTGTGGGTTTGTGATGTGTAGATGGGTGGGTGATGCGGGTTGTGGCCCCCTGCCCCGCCTTGGGTATGCAGGAGTTTTTTCTTGGGCGTGTGTGGGCACCAGTGCTTTTGTGGTGCCAGTGGGGTCCCCCTTTTGTTGGTCAAGAAAGAAATAACCCTTCTTGGGGCCACTGGGGGGATATAGTTGCCCCTTGCCTGGCAGCTGGATGGGGCATGGGGGCTCCACTCAACTGCTGACTCCCCAGGGAGAGTGAGGCCCTGAGCTCTTAGTGTCCCCCACCCCTGTTCCTGTCTCACAGTCTTTCACCTGGTGTTCCCCAGTCAGCCCCTGCTGGGGTGCCCTGGCCTCTGCTGGCACCAAGCAGGCAGGCGGGGGGCATTCAGGGCTCCACCCTCCCCCCTCCCCCGACACAGGCAGATGGCCACCAGCATGGCTGGCCTGGTGCTGCTGTGTCCCCCGTCCCCCGCTGGACCAGGCTGAAGCGAATACTTGTGCGGATGGCTTGACCTGTTGTCACCACCCAGACCAAACCGGAACCAGCAGGCTGTTGCCTTTGGGCCAGGGCCTGCAGCTGCGGCTGCCATGACCAGCCTGTTCCCGGCCTTCTGGGGAGCTTCAGACAGCTCCCAGCTCTGGGTGGTCCCCACAAGACACTGGCCAGGGCCAGAGGGCTGGAGGTCAGGCCAGGTGCCCCTCTGACTGTGGGGTCCTCACAGGGGCAGTCTAGGAGCTGTGGGTCCCTGTGGCGCGAGGGCTCCCTTGGATGCTTCCGGGGATGAGTGTGGCCCTTCCGGTTGATAGGGTCACTCTGGGTACTGGGGGCGTGCGGCTGGCTTCGGTGGATTGGGCAGAATTGGGCCTGGCCAGGCAGCCAGGGACTGGTGTGGCCAGCGTGGGCAGCTGGGCCCCCAAATCTAGGCCACGCATCGGCAGAATGACAAGTGATGGCGCAAGCGGCCCAGCTGGGTCTGAAGGAGGACGCTGCCTGGGGGACCAGCCGCCCCCGCCCCGGCCCCAAGCCCAGACCACCCGCCTGCATGCGTTATCTGGCCCTGGCAGGGGACCTAGGGGTGATGGTCCCCCAGCCCCACCTGTGGTGTGTCCTTGGGTCACAGGCTTTGGTGGCCCTCGGGAACTGGGGAGCTACTGGGCAGGGGGAGGGGGCCAGGGCCACCTGCACATCTGCCCCTGTGGGTGGGCCCCCACCCCAGCTTCTCAGCCCCCGGGGAGGGGCCGGGGCTGCTGCCCTGTGGCACCGCCTGTGGCTCTCACAGCTTCCTGCCCCCAGCCTGGTCCTCTCCTGTGAGGGCGTCCCACTCCCAGCCCCCAGCCCATGGACCCACTGGGCTGGCCCCGGCGTCGTGTTGTACTTTGCTTTTCTCTGTGTGTTTTCTGTGGTGGTCAGTGTGGAGCTTACCCAGGAGCTGTAGGATGCAGAACCCTACCCATGCCAGGGAGCCCCTGCCCCCGCCCCGCCACCTCGCACTGCTCCAGCCTGGCTCTGCCTGGTGAACCTGCCCGCTGCCCCCGGCTTCGTCCGCTCGGCCGTCTGACCCTGCACCTCCTTTCTCGTCCATTCTCTTCCCTTGTTGACATCTGAACTCCACCTCAGGCACATACAGGGTATGGGGGCTGCTGAGAGGGACCCCTCCTTGGGTGCATCTGCACTGCCAGGGGGCTGGCTGGCCACCCTGGCACCCCTTCTGAGCTTCATCTCAGCGGGGAGCCAGCAAAGGGCAGCCTGTCCCCTTTGTCCCCAGGACCTGTGGCCGTGGGGCCACCTGTGAGCCAAGCATGGATTTTATGTTTCAAAGCAGTTGAACAAATCAAAAGAATGAAGAGTTGCACTCTGTGGTGCTTTGAGATTCGAATTCCCCGTGTCCAAAAGTGAAGCTTTGTGGAGGCGCGGCCCTGGGTTGGCTGCAGCTTGTGTGGGCACAGCGGCTACCACACCAAGGCAGACCCAAGTCCTTGGCACAGAGACCGGCTGGCAAAGCTGAAGATGGAGACCTCTGGCCCTTTTGGGGCTCAGCTCCAGCCCCTGGTCTGGTGGGACCCCAGATCTGGGTCAGGGCCACTGAGGCCTCCACTACTGTGTCTGTAAATGTGCCGGGTTTGGGGGTACCTGCCTCATGGTCACGGGTCTCGCCTGCAGAGGTCCCAGGCCTGGAGCCCGGCCAGCAGGAGCAGTTGGTCTTCGGCAGCGGGGACGCGGTGGAGCTGAGCTGTCCCCCGCCCAGGGGTGGTCCTGTGGGGCCCACGGTCTGGGTCAAGGATGGCGCAGGGCTGGTGCCCTCGGACCGCATCCTGGTGGGGCCCCAGCGCCTGCTGGTGCTGAACGCCTCACAGGAGGACTCTGGGGCCTACAGCTGCCAGCAGCGCCTCACACAGAACGTGCTGTGCCGCTTCAGCGTGCGGGTGGCAGGTGAGCTTTGGGCCAGCCAGCTGCAGAAGGGAGTGGGTGCTGGGCTCCCTGAGTCCCCACGAGGGCCAAGAGCCGCTGGGTGTCTCGGCCACGGGGCTGCAGCACCCCTGCCCCAAGGGTCATTGGTGGAGAGGAAGGCACCCCCAGGAAGTGCTGCCCGAATGGGGGACCCTGTCTCACCTGGGAGGGGCACCTGGGGGCCTCCTGGGGCAGGTCGGGCACTGGAAGCAGCTGTCTCTGCCTTGTAGACGTTCCATCTTCAGGAGATGATGAAGACGGGGAGGATGAGGCTGAGGACACAGGTGCGGACACAGGTGGGAGCAGGGTCGGGTTCAGGCTGGCCAGGGTGGGGCCTGCTGCCACCACTAAGCCCTGCCCTCCACAAGCAGCTGAGGGACCGAGGTCCCTGGGGTCACCCCGAAGGTCAGGTCTCCTCAGGATGCAGGAGGGGCTGGGCCACTGAGATGGCTCTGGACGCCCAGACCTGGCTCCCTGGTGGCAGGGCTGGGGTGTGAAGGGATACCCGTGTTGCTGATAGGGAGACAGGCACAGGGCCCTGGGGGTTCCAGGAGCTGGAGGAGGCCAGGACTGGCCTGTGGGGCTCTGGTGCTGGCTGTGGGTGAGACAGATGCTGCGGGTGTGAGCGCAGCAGGGCAGGGCACTCACTCAGGTGGTGGCACTCACCATGGGGTGGATGGGCCCAGGTTGAGGGCACAAGGGGCACCTGGCCACAACCAGTGGCAGGGAGGGTGGGCTGCGGCTGTGGGAGCGCAGTCAGGGACGCTGCCCGGTGTTCCGGCCTGGAATGGTAGAGGGGAACTTTGCCCACTTGGAGGGCGGGGAGTGGGGCTTCTGATTTGGGAGGAAGCTTGAGGTGAGTGTGTGCAGGGGGGCATCATTGTGGCACAGACACAATGTGTGGGGGGGCAGTTACGACAGGACTGGTGGTGTGTGGGCTGGGTCCCTGGGCCAGCGGAGTGAGCGGGTGAGGAGGGGAGGCTGAATCCATGAGAGACTGAGCTTGGGTAACTCCCCCTGGGGGTCTCAAGGAGGCCTGGGAGGGAGCTCAGCACCACGGGGCTGCCTCCTCCCAGCTTTTGTCCACACTGCGTCTTGCAGTGCCCCTGATGGGCGTGTCCCTGCAGGTGGGTGGCAGTGAGGTCACCAAGGGGAGGGCTGCTTCCCTCCTGGAGGATGCCAGCCCGGCCTTGCCTGGAGTCCCGGCAGGAAGGCAGCCCCGGCCCCAGTCTCAAGGAAGGAGAAAAACCAGTTGGGCTGTGAGGGAGGGGTAGGAGCCCCGTATGCCGAGGTGGGAGGAGGCAGGGTCTCCAGAGTGTCACCATCTCTGGGTGCCCGCCAGACCCGGAGCCCTGCAGAGGGTGGCCTGGGGTCTCTGATTCCCGTGGGCTCCCGGTGCCCAGCTGCCTCCAGGGCTCCTGGTTTTTCAGGGGCTGGGACCCTTTTCCTGGTGAACTGCTCCCAGGTCCTGGCTTATCCATGGCACGCCTCTCTGGGTGGGTGGGCTCCCTGGACCACGCCCTGTGCCCCGAGGCTTCACAGGCAGGGCACCCTGGAGGGGAGGCAGGGGACGCATGGCCCAGCTCTGAGAAAGCCCAGGGTGGGGACATGATACTAAGGATGCTCCTGGGCGCCTCATCCCACCCCCTCCCTACAAAGGAGAGGAAACAGGCTGGGGTGGGCAGGGGCAGCTTTGGGAGGGGTGTTGGTCAGAGGGGGCTCTGTTCCCACTTGGGTTATGGTCTTCACGGACACCTCGGCCAGCAGGGGCCCCTTATTGGACCCGGCCCGAGCGGATGGACAAGAAGCTGCTGGCCGTACCGGCTGCCAACACTGTCCGCTTCCGCTGCCCGGCCGCTGGCAACCCCACTCCCTCCATCTCTTGGCTGAAGAACGGCAAGGAGTTCCGCGGCGAGCACCGCATTGGAGGCATCAAGGTGGGTGCCGGGGTGGCTCTGGGCCTGGCGGGCACGTGGCTTCCCTCTGCTCACCCGTCGCCCACTGCAGCTGCGGCACCAGCAGTGGAGCCTGGTCATGGAGAGCGTGGTGCCCTCGGACCGCGGCAACTACACCTGCGTGGTGGAGAACAAGTTCGGCAGCATCCGGCAGACGTACACGCTGGACGTGCTGGGTGAGGGCCTGGGGCCGCATGGGGGCAGGGCGGGCAGCCCCGGAGGAGGCGGCCCCTGAGCACCATCTGCCCCCACAGAGCGCTCCCCGCACCGGCCCATCCTGCAGGCGGGGCTGCCGGCCAACCAGACGGCGGTGCTGGGCAGCGACGTGGAGTTCCACTGCAAGGTGTACAGCGACGCACAGCCCCACATCCAGTGGCTCAAGCACGTGGAGGTGAACGGCAGCAAGGTGGGCCCCGACGGCACACCCTACGTCACCGTGCTCAAGGTGGGCCGCTGCTGGGGCTCCCAGGCTGGGGGCTGCGTGAGGATTCGGGCCTCAGGGTAGGAGCTTCAGGGGAAGAAGCTATGGGGGTGCTTGTAGGGCCAAGTCTCAGCCACCCCACACTTTGGGGCCACAGGCAGCTGTGGCGGGACGCATTTCCATGTCTGTGGAGGGCCCACCACGGCCACTGGAGCCCCTGACATGGAGCCGCCTGCAGGGGCCTCTCGGGTGGGCGAAGCTCAGGCAGTGATGGTGGCCCAGGACAGGGCAGCGGCCAAGCCCTCCAGGCCCCCTCTGGACCTCAGAGGCGGTGGCTTTTGTCAGCTGTGTGCAGGGGGACCAGGCTCAGCCCGCCTCCCAGAGCCCTTAGGTTTGTTCCCACGGCTGCTGGGTGGCCACTGAGTTGGGACATTTTGACACGCAAAGCCCAGAGAAAGCTGTTCAAAAGGGGATGGTCTGATGGGGGTGGGGAGTGGGTGGGGGGCAAGGGTGGAGTCCAGATCCCGCCCAAGAGAAATGCCTGCTCAGAGAGGAGAAGGTTTTATGGGGCGGGGAGCGGGCGTGGGGTGAGAGTGGAGTTCAGACTCCACTTGGAGAGACCGCCGTGGGCCCTGTCCAGGGTACATGTTCTGCAAGACCGAAGGGGAGGGCAGGCCAGTGGCCACGGCTGAGGGTCTGGGCTGGGTTGTTGGGGTGGAGGCAGAGACGAATGTCCTGTGAAACCACAGCCACCGTGAAGTGCCTCCATGCCTCCTCCAGGCAGCTGTCGGGGCCTACGCAGCCCAGCTTCCATCTGCCTCGGGGGTCTCCCACCTCCTGCCTCGTGCCTGGCGGGGCTGCCTCAGGGGCGTGCCTGAGCGGGGTCTCTTGTCCCCGCAGTCCTGGATCAGTGAGAGTGTGGAGGCCGACGTGCGCCTCCGTCTGGCCAATGTGTCGGAGCGGGACGGGGGCGAGTACGTCTGTCGAGCCACCAATTTCATAGGCGTGGCCGAGAAGGCCTTTTGGCTGAGCGTTCGCGGGCCCCGAGCAGGTAACGACTCTGTCCCATGCCGGCCGGTACAAGAGCTCCAGCTCCATGGCCCTGGCCGCGCGTCCCGCACGCCCCGCACGCCTGGCCCTGCTCGCTCCCGTCCCCGGCTCGCGCTCGCTCTCGGCCACCTCAGCGAGGCTGGCAGCTCTGGCCTCCACCGTCACCTTCCTCTTCAGCGACCTGCTTCGAGCCCTGTGGCCTGTGCCGACCTTTCCCGCACGTCTGCGCTCCCGCTCCCCAGGCGCCTGGTGCCCACGTGGCCCAGCCCAGTGCCGTCTGTGAGCGTCCCCTTCCGCCTCTCCCAGTGGCCGCTGCGCGCTCGCTTCTGCAGCCCGTGTGTCTGTGTGTCCGTCTCCTCCACCCGCACCCGCCCGGCCCTGCGCTTACCCGCATGCTGCCTGCCTGCCCGCCTGTCGCTCACCTGGGACAGAGGACTCGCCGGTGGAGGGGCCTGGCTTCGGACTCGGGTGCCGGTGACCCGGCGGAGGGCCGCACGGGGCGGCCGACTCGGCCTCGAGGAGTTGGTGGTGGCGGCGTTCTCCTTGCAGTGGCTGGATGCTGCCGTGTGGACTCTGCGGTGCCTGCAGGCCGGTGCTGGCTCTCTCCTATCGCTCTGCTCTCTCTTTGTAGACGGCGGGGGCTAATACCACCGACAAGGAGCTAGAGGTTCTGTCCTTGCAGAACGTCACCTTCGAAGACGCCGGGGAGTACACCTGCCTGGCGGGCAATTCTATTGGCTTTTCCCATCACTCTGCGTGGCTGGTGGTGCTGCCAGGTACCGGCTTCTGCGGCTGCTGCCCCGCACTGTCGGGGACGCTGGCTTGGGACACGCCAGAGCCTCCAGGACGGAAGGGAACCCTGTGGCTTATGGCCGCCCCACTCCTCGATCCCTCACACCTGGCCCTGTGCCCAGTGTGAGGACAAAGTTGGCCCAGCCAGGCCCAGACCTGGTCCTAGAGGGGCCCCATCAGCCCCTTTGAGCCCCCTTCCCATCCGGGTCCCCAAAGGCCCCTCCTGTGGCTCTGGTGTCTCCTGGGTGCCTGGTGGCGGTGTGGGGCTGGCTGGCTCTGCTGGGCACCTCCTCTCCAGGGTCTGGCCCTCCTGACTCATCGGTGTTTCTGACCACAGGACCCCCCCCAGACAACGGGGATGCTGGGGTTCTGAGCCCCCTCCCGCTCCCAGTGCTGCCTGTGGCTCTGGGCCAGGGGCACCCATGGGGCTCGGGGGGGGCCAGGCCAGGCCCCAACGCGTGTGTCTTTGCAGCTGAGGAGGAGCTGGCGGAGGCCGACGAGGCGGGCAGTGTGTACGCAGGCATCCTCAGCTATGGGGTGGGCTTCTTCCTGTTCATCCTGGTGGTGGCAGCCGTGACGCTCTGCCGCCTGCGCAGTCCCCCCAAGAAAGGCCTGGGCTCCCCCACCGTCCACAAGATCTCCCGCTTCCCGCTCAAGCGACAGGTAACAGAAAGTAGATACCAGGTTCTGAGCTGCCTGCCCGCCTGGCCTCTGGAGCCCCCTTGGCCTCTGTTGGCCTTGGGCTGTGCAGCACCCTCTGCAGCCAGGAGGGCTCACCTCCCCTTGTCTCTGGTCACCACGTAGAGCCCAGGGTACTCTGGGGCACAAAACGTTCTAATGGTCTTTGTTCAGCGCTGGTGGAAGTCAGAGCGCCCCCCTTCCAGCCCACAGCGACCCCCGGCTGCACCCCCACGCCCTGTCCTCCACGCGGCGCCAACCTGCCCCTGCCGACCCAAGCAGGTGTCCCTGGAGTCCAACGCGTCCATGAGCTCCAACACGCCGCTGGTGCGGATCGCAAGGCTGTCCTCGGGGGAGGGCCCAGCGCTGGCCAACGTCTCTGAGCTTGAGCTGCCCGCCGACCCCAAATGGGAGCTGTCCCGGGCCCGGTCAGTGGCGCTGAGGGCCAGCGTGGGCTGTAGGGGGCTCAGTGGTGGGGGTGAAACACCAGGCAGAGGACCCGCCGGGTTCGGGGCCATCAAGGACGTGGAGGATGTTGGAGCTGTTCCTCTCTCTGGAGATGCTCCTGGGAGGGGTTCATGGCAGGGACTGCCCCTCTCAAGGTGCCCTGTCTGGAGAGGCAGCAGGGGCAGAAGGCCGGTGGGTGACAGTCTTCATCCTCATGAGCAGGCTGCAGGATGAGCATGGAGGGCTTCCTGGAAGTGGGGGCTCTGGGCCTTAAGGGCTGGGCCCGGCTGGGGTGGGGATTGTGGCAGGCTGCGAGTGGGCGAGCTTGTATGCTCATGGGTCTCTCTGCCTCTGCTGCCAGGCTGACCCTGGGCAAGCCCCTCGGGGAGGGCTGCTTTGGCCAGGTGGTCATGGCGGAGGCCATCGGCATCGACAAGGACCGGGCTGCCAAACCCGTCACTGTGGCTGTGAAGATGCTGAAAGGTGAGGAGAGGGCGGCCAGGGGTGCAGGGCAGGGCTGGGGGCGCCACCACCTGACAAAGAGTCTCCCTCCTTGCCCAGACGATGCCACTGACAAGGACCTGTCGGACTTGGTGTCGGAGATGGAGATGATGAAGATGATTGGGAAGCACAAGAACATCATCAACCTGCTGGGCGCCTGCACGCAGGGCGGTAGGTGGGGCGCTGGCGGCTGCGGCGCAGGTCGGGCGGCCCTCCTGGGCCTGGCAGCCCCTCTGAGGAGCCCGTGCCCCCAGGGCCCCTGTACGTGCTGGTGGAGTACGCCGCCAAGGGCAACCTGCGGGAGTTCCTGCGGGCGCGGCGGCCCCCCGGCCTTGACTACGCCTTTGACACCTGCAAGCCGCCCGAGGAGCAACTCACCTTCAAGGACCTGGTGTCTTGTGCCTACCAGGTGGCCCGGGGCATGGAGTACCTGGCCTCCCAGAAGGTGAGCAGGGCAGCAGGTGTGGGTGGAGTGGGCACGGACGGCTCTGCCATCCTGGGAGCAATGGGAGAGGCGTCGAGGCTTCAGCCCTGCCCCCACCCCTTCCCAGTGCATCCACAGGGACCTGGCCGCCCGCAATGTGCTGGTGACCGAGGACAACGTGATGAAGATCGCCGACTTTGGACTGGCCCGAGACGTGCACAACCTCGACTACTACAAGAAGACCACCAACGTGAGCCTGGCCTGTGGGGTGGGGCGGGGCGTGCTGGGGGCGCCTCGTGCCAACACTGCCTTCCCACCTCTTCCAGGGCCGGCTGCCCGTGAAGTGGATGGCACCTGAGGCCCTGTTTGACCGCGTCTACACCCACCAGAGTGACGTGTATGTGTCCTGCGGACCCCGGCCTCGGGTGGAGGCGGTAACTGGGCAGAACTGGGACCCAGCTTCAGCCCATACCTGTGCCCTGGGGCTCTTGGGCCTGGTCTCTTACCCCTCCGGGGGCAGCAGCGCAGCCCTGGCCTATTCCCCTGGTGCCCACCCAGGTGTCTGTCCTGGGGAGGTTTCAGGACAGTCTGACCTTGTATCTCTGCAGCTGGTCCTTTGGGGTCCTGCTCTGGGAGATCTTCACACTGGGGGGCTCCCCGTACCCCGGCATCCCTGTGGAGGAGCTCTTCAAGCTGCTGAAGGAGGGCCACCGCATGGACAAGCCCGCCAACTGCACGCACGACCTGTGAGCAGCACCGCTGGTCCTCCCTGGGTCCTCCGGCGTGTTGGGGGCTGGGGGGGGGACTGGCAGCCTGAGGCTATTCCTGAGTAAGGTGGGGGCTCATGCCTGAGCACCCTGCCTGCAGGTACATGATCATGAGGGAGTGCTGGCACGCTGCGCCCTCACAGAGGCCCACCTTCAAGCAGCTGGTGGAGGACCTGGACCGCTTCCTTACTGTGACATCCACCGACGTGAGTGCGGGCCCTGGGCTGGTGCCACTCCCCTACCCCCCAGCCCCACCCTGGCCATCCTACCCCAGAAGGCTGAGGTGTGGGGCGGGCCTCTGGGGCGCAGCCTGGGCACAGCGGTGGCCGTGGGAAGAGGGGCTTTGTGGGACAGCACTCACCCTGCCTTCCGCGGCAGGAGTACCTGGACCTGTCGGCGCCGTTTGAGCAGTACTCTCCCGGTGGCCAGGACACGCCCAGCTCCAGCTCCTCAGGGGACGATTCCGTGTTCGCCCACGACCTGCTGCCCCCGGCCCCACCTGGCAGTGGGGGCCCGCGGACGTGAAGGGCCGCTGTGGGTCCCCAACAATGTGAGGGGGTCCCTAGCAGCCCACCCTGCTGCTGGTGCACAGCCACTCCCTGGCACGAGACTCAGTCCAGAGGGACAGACGGCCACACAGAGCTTTGGCCTTTGTGCGCGCGCGAGTGCATGTGTGTGTGCGCGCCTGTGCGTCTTGTGGCCTCCGGGTGCAGAGGTCCCCTGGGTGTCCCCGCTGCTATGCAGTGGCCTCCTGACTGGTGCCGCAGCACCAGGGGGCCTTTGACCTGGGGTGACCCAGTGTGGAATGTAAGTGGGCCCAGCCTGTGGGACCCCCGTGGGGCAGGGAGCCGGGCCTGATGTGACCCTGGCCTCTGCTCTTGCATCGTGGAGCATCACAGGGTGGCTTCCGGCCCTCCCACTCCCAAAGCTGAGCCTGCAGGGAAGCCCCACGTGTTGAGCACCTTGTGCCTGGGGGTGTTAGTGGCACTGCCCCCCACATCCAGGCTTTCCTCATTCCCACCCTGCCCCTCAGAGACTGAAATTACGGGTACCTGGAGGTGGGAGCCTTTACCTTTTATTTAAAAGGTTTATTCCAGAAACTAGTGTACATTTCTATAAATAGATGCTGTGTATATGGTATATATACATACATATATATATAAAATATATGGAAGAGAAGGCTGGTACAACGGAGGCCCGAGGCCCTGGGGTCGCAGGAGGCAGACGTGGCCCCGGGCCGTGGCGGAGGCCTCAGGGGTCTCACATACAAGCAGAGGAGCAGGGCCGTTTCTGGCATTGGTTTTGTTTTAAAATTGTACCTGGACCTGTACATTTGTAAAGCTATTTATGGCCCCGGCACCTTGTTCCTATACCCCAACACTTGTAGCATTTATTTAGCCAGCCACAGGGTGGAGAGTTTTAATTTTTAACTTATTAACAGCCGAGAAGGTTTATCCCGCCTATAGACTGTGCGTCCAGCCTGCCCCAGGCTGGGGGGGGTCCCCTCTGAGTCTTCGAGGTGGTTCATAGTTGGAGGGGATGCTGGCGAGGATATTTTATTTCCTTTGTCCTCCTTTTGCAGGAGAATTAGATTTCTATAGGATTTTTTTTTTTAGGAGATTTGGTTTTTGGACTTCAAAGCAAGCTGGTATTTTCTCACAAACTCCTCTAATTGCTGCGTGTCCCAGGCCGGGAGGCGGTTTCCAGGGAGGGGCCGGCCTTGTGTGCAGGTCAGATGTTATTAGATGTTACAAGTTTATATATATCTATATATATAATTTATTGAGTTTTTACAAGATGTAGACTTAACACTTCTTACGCAATGCTTCTGGAGTTTTATAGCCCAGACTGCTACCCTTCAGAGCTTGGAGGGGAGCCGTGAATTCAGTTACTGGGCTGAGTCTGGGCGGCTGTCCCTTGCTTGCCTGCAGGGCCATGGCTCAGGGTGGTCTCTTCCTGGGGCCCAGTGCATGGTGGCCAGAGGTGTCACCCAAACTGGCAGGTGTGATTTTGTTAGCCCATCGACGAACTTTCCAAAAAAATAAAGAGACGTCTGGTTCCTAACCTGACTGTGTGCTTTCTATTCATCCAGTCGTTCTGGGACAGAGGAGGGAGGGGTCACTGGCCGCCGGGCGGTCCCAGCTGCGCCGCACAGCCCCGCAGGTCACTGGTGGTCTGGGAGCCCCTAGGACGAGGACTGTGTATGAGGGGCCTGGTGAGAGGGAGCAGGGTGCTGGGGGGTGCACCGCCCTGGCTGCTCCCAGCTCGTGGATTCCTGAGGTGGTGGGGGGGGATCCTGTCTCTTCACCCTACCCCTGGCATCTGCCTTCCCGGTCAACTGGGGAGCTTTCTGGGTATCCCCCCCCACCCCCCCCCCGCCTACATGGAACCAAAAGTAAGCAAAGCCCTCATGGGCCCCTGGGGGCTATACAGGCGGGCCCTCCTCCAGGTTAGCTCTACCCTCCCAGGCCAGGTGACCCGTGCCCCACTGCCTTGGGCTCCGCCAGGGTCGCTCCTGTGCTCTTCTCCCCTCTGCCGTCCTCCCTCTGGTGTCCTCCCCTCTGCTATCCTCCCTCTGCTGTCCTCCCTCTGCCGTCCTCCTCCCTCTGCCGTTCTCCTCCCTCTGCTGTCCTCCCTCTGGTATCCTCCCCTCTGCCATCCTCCTCCCTCTGCTGTCCTCCCTCTGGTATCCTCCCCTCTGCCATCCTCCTCCCTCTGCTGTCTTCCCTCTGCCGTCCTCCTCCCTCTGGTGTCCTCCCCTCTGCCGTCCTCCTTCCTCTGCCGTCGTCCCCTCTGGTATCCCCCCCTCTGCCATCCTCCCCTCTGCTGTCCTCCCTCTGCTGTCCTCCCCTCTGGTATCCTCCCCTCTGCCATCCTCCTCCCTCTCCTGTCCTCCCTCTGGTATCCTCCCATCTGCCATCCTCCTCCCTCTGCTGTCCTCCCCTCTGGTATCCTCCCCTCTGCCATCCTCCCTCTGCTGTCCTCCTCTCTGGTATACTCCCCTCTGCCGTCCTCCTCCCTCTGCTGTCCTCCCTCTGGTATCCTCCCCTCTGCCGTCCTCCCTCTGCTGTCCTCCCCTCTGGTATCCTCCCCTCTGCCATCCTCCTCCCTCTGCTGTCCTCCCCTCTGGTATCCTCCCCTCTGCCATCCTCCTCCCTCTGCTGTCTTCCCTCTGCCGTCCTCCTCCCTCTGCTGTCCTCCCTCTGGTATCCTCCCCTCTGCCATCCTCCTCCCTCTGCTGTCCTCCCCTCTGGTATCCTCCCCTCTGCCATCCTCCTCCCTCTGCTGTCCTCCCCTCTGGTATCCTCCCCCCTCTGCTGTCTTCCCTCTGCCGTCCTCCTCCCTCTGCTGTCCTCCCTCTGGTATCCTCCCCTCTGCCGTCCTCCTCCCTCTGCTGTCCTCCCCTCTGGTATCCTCCCCTCTGCCATCCTCCTCCCTCTGCTGTCCTCCCTCTGGTATCCTCCCCTCTGCCATCTTCCTTCCTCTGCCGTCCTCCCTCGGGTATCCTCCCCTCTGCCATCCTCCTCCCTCTGCTGTCTTCCCTCTGCCATCCTCCTCCCTCTGGTGTCCTCCCCTCTGCCATCCTCCTCCCTCTGCTGTCCTCCCTCTGGTATCCTCCCCTCTGCCATCCTCCTCCCTCTGGTGTCCTCCCCTCTACCGTCCTCCTCCCTCTGCTGTCCTCCCCTCTGCCGTCCTCCCTCTGGTATCCTCCCTTCTGCCATCCTCCTCCCTCTGCTGTCTTCCCTCTGCCATCCTTCTCCCTCTGCTGTCCTCCCCTCTGCCGTCCTCCTCCCTCTGCTGTCCTCCTCCCTCTGGTGTCCTCCCCTCTGCCGTCCTCCTCCCTCTGGTGTCCTCCCGTCTGCCGTCCTCTCTGCCATCCTCCTCCCTCTTCTGTCCTCCCTCTGGTATCCTCCCCTCTGCCATCCTCCTCCCTCTGCTGTCTTCCCTCTGCCATCCTCCTCCCTCTGGTGTCCTCCCCTCTGCCGTCCTCCTCCCTCTGCTGTCCTCCCCTCTGGTATCCTCCCCTCTGCCGTCCTCCCTCTGGTATCCTCCCTTCTGCCATCCTCCTCCCTCTGCTGTCTTCCCTCTGCCATCCTTCTCCCTCTGGTGTCCTCCCCTCTGCCGTCCTCCTCCCTCTGGTATCCTCCCCTCTGCCGTCCTCCTCCCTCTGCTGTCCTTCCTCTGCCGTCCTCCTCCCTCTGGTGTCCTCCCCTCTGCCGTCCTCCTCCCGTCTGCCGTCCTCCTCTCTGCCATCCTCCTCCCTCTTCTGTCCTCCCTCTGGTATCCTCCCCTCTGCTGGCTGAGAGCAGGGTTTCCCAGCCATGGGCCGCATGATCTTTCACTCTGGCTTCTAAGATACTCTAGCTCCAAACTCACCTTTCAGGTCAGGGGGAGTTTGCTGGGCAGGCAAGAGTTTAACCCAACCCCGGCCGGGCGCGGTGGCTCAAGCCTGTAATCCCAGCACTTTGGGAGGCCGAGGCGGGTGGATCACGAGGTCAGGAGATCGAGACCATCCTGGTCACCATGGTGAAACCCCGTCTCTACTAAAAATACAAAAAATTAGCTGGGCACGGTGGTGCGGTGGCGCGTGCCTGTGATCCCAGCTACTCAGGAGGCTGAGGCAGGAGAATTGCCTGAACCCAGGAGGAGGTTGTGGTGAGCCGAGATCGCACCACTGCACTCCAGCCTAGGTGACAAGAGCAAAACTCCGTCTCCAAAAAAAAAAAACAAATAACCCAACCCAGTTCAGGGAAGCGTGTGTGGGGGCAGTGCAGGCCTGGCGGAAGCGGCAGTCCCTAAGGTCCCCACCTGCCCAGAAACCCCGGGCTGGGTCCCAGCGGCTGGCTTGGCCCTGGGACACCTGGTGACAGTGGTAGGATGGGGAGGCACATTTTGGCCTGAAGGGAACAGGCGGAGGCCCGCAGGGTTGCGGGGGAACCTGGCCAACAGGCGGGCAGAGCAGGGGGCTCGGAGCACAGGCTAGGGGCGCCCCCTAGCGCTGGCTGGGGAGCTGTTCCTGCTACAACCTCAGGCCCCTCTCCAGCAAGGGCCCTGGTGGAGCTCTGGTGGGTGCAGCGGGACCCTGACTTTGGTGCTGGGGACCAAAGACCTGGGCCGCTGGGAGCACAGAGGCCCGCGAAGGTGCTGGGGACCAGACCCTCCTCCTCAGAGCACTTCCTTAGAGACCCCAGGCAGCAGAGCACTGGCCAGGCTGGTCCTTGAAGCTGGCCCACCAGAGGCTTCCCAGCTGCTGCCCCTGCCCCATGAGAAGGTGAGCCCTGAGAGACCCCGGCTGTCAGCACAGTTGAGACTCCACCACAGGGTCCCCTCTAGTGGCTGGGCCTCCTCTAGGCTGGCAGGGTCCCCGCCTGTGCCCTCTGCTGGTTAGTGCTGAGGGGCACCTGTTTTGTGGGGGTCTGGCTTCCCATGGCTGGTGGCTCCTGGGGTCACCAACAGCACCTGGTTTGTTCACAGCTCTGGGCTGCTGTCCCCACGAGTGGGCACCCCCCCCCAGCTGTGGAGCCATCATTTCCTCTGATTAATAAAGGCCTAGGGGTCGAGGGAGGCCCCTGGTGTGAATGAACCAGCAGCCAGTGCTACAGAGAAGCCTGAGGTGCCAACAGGGCCTGGTCCCAGTGTGGGCAAAGCACCTGTGGGAGGGCTCCTTCCACCGAGAAGGGTCGGGCGCTGGACACCACACCGCCATCCTGCCACAGGCACCCTCCACCCACTCCCGAGGCCAGGCCATGCTGAGGTAGGTAGCACCCTGAGGTGCAGGCTGCAGCCTGCCCTCCGTGGCTCCACGCCACCACGTGTCCCTCAGGGCCCTGTCTGTGGGCTGGGCTGAGCCTGAAGTCCCACCTTGCCCAGGACTCCCTCGGGCAGTACTCAGGCCCCTCCTTCCCCTCAGCCGCCTAAGGAGTCTTTCAGAAGAGCTGGTCCTCCCAGGTGACCCCTCAGTTATGGTCCCAACCCCTAACCCCAGGACTCCCAAGAAGTCACTGAGGTCCCCAGAGCAGGGAGAGCCTGACCGGGTGACAGAGCCATGGGCCAGGGGCACTCTGTTCCCGGGAATGTGGGCTTCCAAGCCTGCAGGCCCTCCCTGAAGAGCAGGAAGTTTGAAGGCAAAGGCTGTGCCCATGGACAGGGGGCCCAGAACTCGAACCCCCAAGGACAGCGAGGCTCCTTCTGGAACTGGCCTCGTGGCCACACCCGCCCCTACAGCCCAGCCCTTGCAGCCATGTGCACAGCTCTGCCAGTTCCACTCACTCCCGTGTGCCCAACCGTTCAGAAACGTTAGTACTCCACACTGTTACAGGAACACGGATTTGATGTTTTAATAAAAACACAATTTCTACAAAAGGTGCTTCACACAGCCCAGGATGGGCTCTCAGGCGGAGTCAGCCCTGGGACCCCTGAAGGATGCATGAAGACAGAGCCTCCTCCCGCCACGCTCCTGCCGGCACTGGGACCCACTGCCAGCCACCGCTGGGTGGCCTTCATTACAATATAGTCTAGATTGTGACATTCCAGAAGGAGTCTGGAAGCCACACGGCCAATTCCTGAACCTACGTTAGAAGTGAGTGTTCAGGCCGGGCCCGGCGGCTCACGCCTGTAATCCCAGCACTTTGGGAGACCGAGGCGGGTGGATCAACCAGATGTCAGGAATTTGAGACCAGCCTGACCAACATGGTGACACGTGCCTGTAACGTCAGCTACTCAGCAGGCTGAGGCAGGAGAATCACTTGAACCCTAGAGGCAGAGTTTCCGGTAAGCCAAGACTGTACCACTGTATTCCAGCCCGGGCGACAGAGCGAGACTCCATCTCAAAAAAAAAAAGGGAGTGTTCACTGGGGGTGAGAGGAAGTACTGAATTCCCAGGTGAGGAATTCCAGTTTCATTCTCGCCAGCTCCTGAAAAAGGCCAAGACGGAGGGTCAGGCACTGGCGGGTGTGAGAAGCGATGCTTTAAGAACATAATGACACAAAGCTCTTACTTCCAGATCCACCATTGCTTACATTTGCACCCAGACACCACCCTTAGCTGCAACGAAGAAAGGTCAGGACATACAGAAAACACACACAGCATGACGAGGGAGGATGACGAGGGAGGGCCTGCATCTGAGCCCGGCTGACGCCAAGGAAGCCGCCAAAGGTCCCCACCAAAGGTCCCCACCACAGCCTTCCCCACTGCCAAGCTCCCGCAGCACCCAGAGGGCAAGCCGGCTTCCCAAGGCCATGCGGAGCCTGGGGCAGAGGAGACAGCGGGACGTCAACAGCGCCCAGCCAAGGCAGTGAGGACGAGGATGAGCCGGGGCAGCTGGACGCCGGGATGCAGCTCACAGGGAGGCGTCTGCACACACCCAGGAACTACAAGGCTTGCTCTCAAGTACACTTAGACGCACGAACACCAGGCTACTTACACATGGTGAGAGAATTCATAAATATTCATTAAGGATCTAAAACAAACTTCTCAAATAATTGAAATCTGAAAGCCTTTAGAAGCCAACTGTCCCTGTGCAAAGGTTTACAATTGAGAAATATCTCCTGTTCCTATTTTGTCAAGTTTCTTCAATGGCTGAACAAAGAGAAGCTTCAAGTAATGGAGAAGGCCTGGTCTGAGCGCAGCTGCTCTCCCGGCTGCCCGTGCTATTCCTCTGTCTTCCAAATCCTATGCTTGGAGGCCCCCAGGAGGGACATTTTTGCCAGGAACCAACCTGACCTTAAAAAGATGAGTGTGACACAGCGGCTGGGCAGGAGGGTGGAGGTGGCCGCAGGACACTGCGTGCCCATGCCCTGGCCAGCCTGACCGTGCTGCCAAGTGCAGTGAGGCCACCAGCTGCACCCAGATGGCACAGAGCAAGCCCTAGCACTGGAGGTGTCGCCCTCGAAGCCCCCAGGGATGCCCTGTGTCGCATCGTCATGCCTTGGTGACCAGCCTGCTTGTTAAAGGAGCCCAAGGGCCTGAGCCTGTAGCACCGTGGAAGGTGAGAAGGGTGCACGGCCGCAGGCGCACCGGACGTAAACCTCAGATTAGAAGCTACAAAGAACCCCGTATGTGCTCCAGAGCCCCACCAACCCTGAGCCAGGCTCATCCCTGAAACAGTGAATCCACTGCAGCCCACACGGAACGCAGCCCAAGCACCACCCAAGGGAGCCCCAAGGCCAGGGCTGTGACGGAGTTGCTGGCTTGGGTCAGAAATGCCCTTGAGGGAGGAAGGCAGCCCAGCGTGGGAAAACTGCCAACAGACTGCTTAATGAATTAGGGGAAAATAAAGTCAAGAAAGAGCTCTGATACACAAGGGAAAGCCCACACGAGAACTGGCATGCCCAGCAGGAAGACCTCACTCTCCACAGGCCACGGAGACGGCGGACACCTCCGTCTCCATGGTGACCCAGATCCAACTGAAAGTGCGCGGGAAGCCAGGTCCACTGAGGCTGAAATCTAGAAATCAGGGTCCACTGGTAAGTGGAGGCATCTCCAGCCCTGAGGACGCTGCGCTGTGTCTCCTGACACCGAGGGTGGGCGCAGCTGCCAGCTCCGTGTGGGCGGAGTCCACGTGGTCCTCATTCTCCTCCCTGGAACAGGGCAGCACAGTCGGACGCTGAGACATGAGGGCACACGCAGTGGGGTGCCTTCCTAACCCGGCGTGGCCTTGCCCGCTGCCTCTGGATCCAGGAGGCCGTGGCGGCCACACCACCGTGTGGATCCGACATGATTCTGCGGAGGGGTTCCGGGATTCCGGACAGATTGAATCTCCATGGAATGATGAAAATTAAAATTTACTTGATTATGGAAGTCTCCAATTTATTCCAGCCAAAGTGTTAGACGAGCCACTAAGAATCACCACAAAGCAGTCGTTCTCACGGCCCTCACCGGGCGACGGCACAGCAGGAGGACGGGTACCCAGGCCGGCGGGCCTAGCTCTTCACCTCTGCGACCTCCTTCTCCGCCTTTTCCGCCTTCTCCTTGGCCTTCTCCTTCTCCTCCACCTTCTCCTCCTTCTCCAGTGTTGCTACAATCTCAGCCACCTGGCTGGTGGAGACGTGAACATCTTCTTTGTCCACAAGCTCAATCACCTACACGCATGGGAAAGGGAGGGGCTCAGGCGGTTTTGCCCTCCGGTAGTGGGAGGTGCTGGTGCCCTCAGCTGCCCAGGCTGGGGTGGCAGCAGCACGCAATCGCTACCTGCGGGCCCCAGGGGCCTCAGAGTTCCAGTTCCCCAGGGGGTGCCACAGGCCCTGGGGAAAGGGCTCAGAGTGACAGGACAAAGGAGCCAGGGGGCCACCTTGGCAGGTGGCAGACAGCACAGCGGGGCTGCCAGGGTCAAGTTCCTGCTCTGGCCAGGGACCTGGGCCATGGCTTCCCAGGGCAGAGTGTGGTAACATGCAGGGACCTTGTCCCCACTCTGCCACCCAGACTAACAAGGAAGGGAAGAGTGGCTGCCATATGTGTCTGATCCTCGCTTCTAAACTGAACTGACAGAAAGCAGCCAATGTTTCTAATACACGTCTGGAAAATGACTAACTTGATGCACGCACTGGGGAGCCAGGAGGCAGCTTCCCCTCAGAGACGTCAGTGACTGGGAAAATGGGCATGCTCCGCTCAGGCTGCAGTCCTGGCCTCCCCACAGAGGCTGGATCCTGGGACAGGGTCTCCTGGGCTGCCCTGGAACCTTGAGTGGCTGCACTTGGGAGCTCAGCCCAGCCTTGGGGGTCCCTGAGAGGTGTTGTCGCCCCCCGGCTCCCCATGCCACCAGCTGCACCAGCTGGGGATGGGGTCCCGTGAGATGCATGCCCAGTAGGCGTTTGTTGTCTCAACACTTGATGAGTTTGTAATCTCAAGAATTTCTCACTTATGGCCGGGTGCGGTGGCTCACGACTATAATCCCAGCACTCTGGGAGGCTGAGGCAGGCAGACCACCTGAGGTCGGGAGTTCAAGACCAGCTTGACCAACATGGAGAAACCCAGTCTCTACTAAAAATACAAAAGTAGCCGGGTGTGGTGGCGCATGCCTGTAATCCCAGCTACTTGGGAGGCTGAGGCAGAAGAACTGCTTGAACCCAGGAAGTAGAGACTGTGGCCAGCCGAGCTCGAGCCACTGCACTCCGGCCTGGGCAGCAAGAGTGAAATTCCATCTCAGAACAAAAACAAAAACAAAACCCAATAAACAAACAAATAATAATTTATCACTTTTGATGTTTCACAGGAGAGCAGCAGGTTAAAGGGGCAGTCGCAGTGACAGACCTGACCCCGACAGGAGGGGGCATCTGCCCACAGGGTGCCAGGTATGCAATCAGCAGCCGCTCCGCCCCACCCCAGAGCACCTCGCTGGCCCGCGCAGTCCCCAGTGAGGCCCACCTTGACGAGGTCATCGATGTTGACCCTGCCGTCCTTGTTCTCGTCCAGTGCTGCGGCCAGGCTGGTGAGCTTGCTTTCGGGAATGTGCTTCACTTGCTTCATGGCGCTGATGAGCTCAGCGACACTGATGACGTTCTCCCTGTGGGGGCACAGCCTGCATGTGGCACGGGCAGCCGTCCCGCCCACACCTGTGGCTGCAAGTGATCAGCCCTGACACAGGTGGCTCTGCCTGAGCCGGGCAGCCCCCAGCTCGGACCCCCAAGGGGTGATCCCATCCTGAATTTGCCACCAAGAGCGCCCAGAGCCAGCATGGACACAAACACAGAAACACCACCGGGTCGAGGGTTTCCATGGGCATGTCTGCCCCCTTGGTGGCTGCCCTTCCGGGGCCATGGAGACTGGGCAATGTCCTCGGGCCTGGGGCCACTTGGCAATGCACTCATGATCATGCGGGCTGTGGTGCCCTGGGCAGGTGAGGGCCTCCAAGAGCAGAAACAAGAGCATGAGCAGGGTGCCATGGGCAGCCCGCCTGCAACACTGTGGGTGTGGGGGTGGAGATTTGGAGCCTGCAGGACACCAGCTGTTACCCAACAACTGTTTTCATTCACCCAAAAGGGACTCACACAATGGCAGCTCCCTCAGCCACTGTGGCAGGAAGCTGGGACATGCGGGGCACCGAGAAAGCCACCGGCCTCAGCTGGTGTCATTACTCTTCGTGGGTGGGGTCAGGGAGAGGGAGAAGCAAGAGAGAGGCTGGAGGAGACAGAAGCCAAGAGAGGCTGAGGCTGGAGTAGGAGGGGAGAGGGCTGTGGGAGGAGGAAGAAGGGCCCGGAAGGCACGAGTCGCTCTTGGATGTGGAGACCAAGATGCCTGGAGGCTCCCTGGCTGGGACCGCTGGGTGAAAGGTGGAGAAGCAGCCAAGTGGAGGCCAAGATGTGCCCTTTGGAACCAGAAGGGCCCAGCTCGGATGCAGCAAAATGACCAGCCTCCCTACGTGAGTCCCCGATCCCTCTCCCGCACCTGCCGCCCCACTCACCCTGTGGGCACGCCCTCGGCTGGGGCCAGCTTGCCGGCCTGCTGGTCCATCTCCAGCTGCGAGATCAAGCCGTCGATCTGTCCAATCATCTGCTGTACCCTTTTCGTCAGTCTCTTGCTGGCTTTAGATTCTTCCACATACTGCTCTTCACCAGTCTTTGAAAGTTCCTTCTTGATCTCTTGCAAGTCCTAACAAAATGATTTTGGTTGTAAAAAGTTTGTCTTAAAAAAAAAAAGGAGGGGGGCCAGGGGCAGTGGCTCATGCCAGCAATTTTAACACTTTGGGAGGCTGAGGCAGGTGGATCACCTGAGGTTAGGAGTTCAAGACCAGCCTGGCCAATGTGGTGAAAACCCATCTCTACTAAAAAAAATACAAAAATTAGCTGGGCATGGTGGTGGGCACCTATAAACCCAGCTACTCAGGAAACTGAGGCAGGAGAATCGCTTGAACCCGGGAGGTAGAGGCTGCAGTGACCCAAGACCACGCCAATGCACTCCAGCCTGGGCACAGAGCAAGACTCTGTCTTAAAAAAAAAAAAAAAAAATCTGGTTGGGCGCAGTGGCTCATGCCTGTAATCCCAGCACTTTAGAAGGCCAAGGCAGAAGGATCACTTAACGACAGGAGTTTGAGGCCAGCCTGGGCAACATAGCAAGATCCCATCTCTACTAAAATTCAAACAAAAAATTAGCCAGGTGTGGTAGTGGATGCCTGTAGTCCCAGATACCCCGGAGGCTGAGGCAGGAGGGTCACTTAAACCTGGGAGGTCGAGGCTGCAGAGAGTCAAGACCACTCCACACTTCAGCCTGGGCAACAGAGCGAGACCCTATCTCAAAAACAAAAAAGGTGATACTAAATTAACTTGCAAAGGTAATTAAACCCATTAATTGGAACCAGAGAAAGTTACAAAGCTGTATTTCTAGCATATAGATTTCTTGTTTTTATACAAACACTGCCTTGCCAGCAAAGGACACAGACTCTACTGTGAATCACAATTTCCTTCACATTCTCCAAGAAAAAATGAAGTGAATGAATTAATCAAGGAAACTAAATGTCTTTGTTCTTTGAGACAGGGTTGGAGGATCTTGCTCTGTCGCCCAGGCTGGAGTAAAGTGGCACGATCTCAACTCATTGCAGCCTCCAACTCCCAAGCGATCCTCCTGCCTCAGCCTCTTGAGTAGCTGGGAGTACAGGCAAGTGCCATTATGCCTGGCGAATTTTTGCATTTTTTTGCAGAAACGGGGTTTCACCGTGTTGCCCAGGTTGATCTCGAACTCCTGAGCTCAAGTGATCCTCCTGCTCTGACTTCCCAAAGTGTTGGGATTACAATTCTGAGCCACCAGTGCCCAACCTTAAGTGTCTTTTTAAATTCCAAGTTGTTTTTTAGTAAACACCATGAGGAAGAATGGGGGAGGGGAGGGGAGGGGAGGAACAGGCTGAGCTGGTGATAAGCACCTCACATCTGGTGGAGAACCCAAGGGCTGTCATAAATCCAGAAATGGCAAATTATTTCTGTCAACTGAAAAATCAGATTTCCAGCAGAGCTATGAAAACAGCTTTTTGGTTTTTTTTGAGACGGAGTCTCACTCTGTCATCCAGGCTGGAGTGCAATGGTGTGATGCCATCTCGGCTCACTGCAACCTCTGCCTCCCAGGTTCAAATGATTCTCCTGCCTCAGCTTACCAAGTAGCTGGGACTACAGGCACACACCACCACACCCGGCCAATTTTTGTATTTTTAGTAGAAACGGGGTTTTACCATGTTGACCAGGCTGGTCTTGAGCTCCTGACCTCAGGTGACCTGCCCGCCTCGGCCTCCCAAAGTGCTGGGATTACAGGCGTGAGCCACTGTGTCTGGCCAAAAACAGTCTGTTTTAAAAACCTGTATTAGAAAGTAATCTTTACAAAAAAAGAAAAAAAATCACCATGGAAGGAAAAAAAGCCACTTTTGGGTAATCATGAATAAGATCTTACCACAGAGTGACCAAACTCTTCGTGAGACACCTTCCCATGTTAAGAAGCTAAAAGATGTGACCGGTGCAGTGGCTCACGCCTGTAATCCCAGCACTTTGGGAGGCCGAGGCGGGTGGATCACGAGGTCAACAGATCGAGACCATCCTGGTCAACATGGTGAAACCCCGTCTCTACTAAAAATACAAAAAATTAGCTGGGCATGGTGGCGCGTGCCTGTAATCCCAGCTACTCAGGAGGCTGAGGCAGGAGAATTGCCTGAACCCAGGAGATGGAGGTTGCAGTGAGCCGAGATCGCGCCATTGCACTCCAGCCTGGGTAACAAGAGCGAAACTCCATCTCAAAAAAACAAAAAACAAAAAAACTAAAAGATGTGCAGGCTCACACCTGTAATCCCAGCGCTTTGGGAGGGCGAGGGGTGGATCACTTGAGGCCCGGAATTCAAGACCAGCCTAGCCTGGTCAACATGGTGAAACCCTGTCTCTACTAAAAATATGAAAAATTAAGCTGGATGTGGTGGCACATGCTTATAGTCTCAGCTACTTGGGAGGCTGAGGCACAGTAATTGTTGAATCCAGGAGGCGGAGGTCGAAGTGAGCTGAAATTGTGCCACGGTACTCCAGCCTGGGCAATAGAGCAAGACCTTGTCTCAAAAAAAAAAAAAAAAAAAAAAGTCGTACACACACCTGTGGCCAGAACGGCACACAGCCACATCCTAGAAGACTGGTCCAGCCAGAACGGCCATGAAAAAGTGACTGAATAAGATTTATTTATAATTTGCTTTCCTCTCCAAATACTCTTGGCCCCGCTTATCGAGTATCTGATGGAAGCATGAGGTAAGACTTTTGGGTACTCCTGCAGCCCCGGTCCGGGAGCAAAGCCCACCCACCTGGCTGTAGTCCTGCACGTCCTCCTTCAGCAGCTCCAGCTCCTCCTTCTCCTTGGTGAGCGACTTCTTCTGCTCCTGCAGCTTAGAGCAGGCGTCACTGAGGATGTCAATCTCCTCCTTGGTTATCTCCTCCTCCTGGGATAAAAAGGGACAAACAACAAAGTGAGCCAGAGGAAGAGCTGGGCTGTCCCGGCGGCCGGCTGCGCCGCTCACAGCATCAGCTATTCACAGTACGGACTTGATTATGTGTGAACCTGAACCCCGACGGTCTCCTGTCACCAGTGAGTGTTCAGTGCGACTCTTGTCCTGGGCTGAGTCTCCTTAGTGGGGATGCCATACTCTGCAAACGTCTTCCTCTGACTACTCATTACCAGAACGAAGCACAATTGATTTTTCACACCATTTGTGAAAAAAGACTTTTCCTTTTTCCTTTCTGATGTGTACGGTTTTGTTTTCTGTATCCAACTGCCCTGACTGAAACCCTCAGGCCAATGCTGAGCTCGGAGTGGGAACAGTCATCCTGCGGGAGGCGTTTCTGCAGATGCTTTTGACTGGGCTGAGAAAGCTCCCACACCTGCAGGACACCCGCGTATCAGGAGAGGACACCGGGCTCGGCCACATGCTCTTTCTGCAGCTACCGACATAATCATTCCTGGCTCTTCTAATTTTGCCTGTTAATATGGAAATTGCACTACTGATTGTTCCGACTTTTCTAATGTCGTCTGTTAATATAGAAATTACATTTGAAAAAATCTTGGCCGGGCACGATGGCTCATGCCTGTAAACCCAGCACTCTGGGAGGCCAAGGTGGGAGGATCACTTGAGGCCAGGAGTTTGAGACCAGCCTGGTCAACACGGTGAAACCTCGTCTCTACTGAAAATACAAAAGTTAGCCAGGCCGGTGGTGGGTGCCTGTAATTCCAGCTACTTAGGAGGCTGAGGCAAAAGAATCACTTGAGCCTGGGAGGTTAAGGCTTCAGTGAGCTGAGGCTGTGTCACTACGCTCCAGCCTGGGCGACAGAGTGAGATCCCAACTCAAAAAAAAAAATTTAAGCCAATCTGTATTTTTTGGACAAATCCCATGTGATCACAATCGTTTTTACAAAATAGTTTGGGTTTTTAAATTTTTATTTATTTTATTTTTATTTTTTTGAGATGGAGTGTCGCTCTTGTTACCCAGGCTGGAGTACGGTGGCGCGATCTCGGCTCACCGCAACCTCCGCCTCCTGGGTTCAGGCAATTCTCCTGCCTCAGTCTCCTGAGTAGCTGGGATTACAGGCACGCGCCACCGTGCCCAGCTAATTTTTTGTATTTTTAGTAGAGACGGGGTTTCACCATGTTGACCGGGATGGTCTCGATCTCTTGACCTCGTGATCCACCCACCTCGGCCTCCCAAAGTGCTGGGATTACAGGTGTGAGCCACCGCGCCCGACCTACTGATTTTTTTATTTTTGACGAACTAAAAAGTTTAAAAAAAAATTTTTTTTTTAAGGCTGGGTATGGTGGCTCATAGCTGTAATCCTAGCACTTTGGGAGGCCAAGGCGGGTGGATCACTTGAGGTCAGGAGTTTGAGACCAGGCTGGCCAACATAGTAAAACCCTATCTCAACTAAAAATAGAAAAATTAGCCAGGTCTGTACCTGGTGGTGCGCCTGTACTCCCACCTACTTGGGAGGCTGAGGCAGGAGAGTTGCTTAAACCTGGGAGGCTGAGGCTGCAGTGAGCTGAGACGGTGCCACTGCACTCCAGCCTGCGAGTCCAAGATGAAAGGTACCAGGAGGCATCCCACGTAGAAGGCACAGGAGCCTGGAGGTTGCACCTCACAAGCTGGCGTGGGGGTCTGAAGATGCCCCAAGCCCAGATCACTCCACAGGATGTGATCCCAGGTTGGGCCTGCGGAGGAAGTTCCACCTCGAGGTACCACATTGGCTGTCACTCCCCTCCACTGCCTGGGAAGCTGACAGGGTGGGGGAGCCTGAAACCTGCTACACTGTGGGCCAGGGTGCCAAGTTCATGGCGGGCTCAGCTGCCACACACACAGGCACAGTGCAGAGCCCAGCCAGACTCACTCTCTTCCCAACCACCAAGCCTCCTAGGGGTCCACTGGCGTCATCCTCAACCCCTTCACCATCTCATTCGCACTGAGGGCTACAAGTGCCCCAGCCAGACTGACCCCATTCCTGCCCCACAACTGTCCACAGAGCCAGGCCACGCCCTCAGCCTCCAGGGCCCCAGAACCCATCTCATTACCTTTAAGCCCTCCAGCACGGGGGCCGTGTCCTTCAGGGTCTCTGACTGCAGGACTGTGTCAGGCACTTCTGGCTGTGGCTCAGCCCCTGCCCTTCGGGGAGCGGCTTCCACACTTTCAAGCTCAAGATCCTTCTGAAAGGAAGGTGACACCAGCCCGGTACGCGCTGTCACACAGAAGCAGCCTTCCGGCTACCTGACGCTCAGCACAAATGGCAGAGGCCACCCTGGAAGCAGGCTACAGGTGACAACCGGCAGTACGCCTGCCACAGGATGTCCCCAGGGAGGTCCCATACAGCTGCCAGGTCAGCTGAGGCCCTCTAAGGAGCAGGCCAGAGTACCTCACTCATCTCTGGTCTCCCCATGACTCCACCACGCTGCCCTGTTACTTGCAGAGCAGGAGGCTGAGCCTATGGGTGGGCACCATGCATGGGACCCAAAGGACCACAGGGCCCACGTTGAAGAGGGGCCCAGAGCCTGGGGGAGCCTGAGGCTGCTCCGCCAGCACCCCTCACAGCAAGGACCTCAGGAGAAGGCAGACACTGCCATGTGCTGAGCCAGCCCCTCTGAGATGGCGAAGCTACCTCTCCCATGAGCACCACTGTGGCCATCAGGCAGTCCCCATGTCAGAGTTGCAGCCCCCACACCCAGGGACCCTACCTCCCTGACCACTCCAGGGAGAAATAAATATGCAGGACAGAATGGCGCGGCCAAGCCTGTGGGCACGTGGGGGTTTCTAGGGAGGAGGGGTTGGGACAGCCTCACGCCCCGTGGAGCAGGGCCACCACTCACCGCTGCCTCCGAGCGCCTCTGCAGCTCCTTCTCAAGGTGCTCCTGCTGGATGGCTGCCTCCTCCTGCAGGGTGGCCTCCAGCTTGGCCTTGTTGTCCACCTGCTCGCCCTCCACTTCGGCTGCTTTCACCTGCGCTTCCTTTGCCTTCAGAAGAGGGTGCACCTGTGGGTGAGCCCCAGAAGCCACCAGAGGCCCCTGCTGCCCCTAACCTCTGCCCTCTGCCCCATATCCCTGAGCACTGTCACCACCTGGGCGTCACACACAAGGGACAGAAGGCACTGCACTGGTGCTGCCCGCAATTGCTGGGAGGCCCCTGGACTGCCCTCTGTGGTCACCCAACGACTCCTGACATGCAGGGAAGGAGCACAGGCGCTACTGGCGCAGCTCCGAGGGCTAAGGCACAGACCCCTGGAAGCCAGCATGTGGCCAGGTCGGTACCACGTGCGGGAGACAGCAGGTGCGGGGCTGGTGAGAGGGATGGAAGGGAGGGGACAGGAGTCTGGGTGGGGGCACTAGTGAGGGGGCGGGAGGGAGGCTGGGTGGATGGGGGTTCTCCGCCCATGGTTGAGGAATGAGTGCTCTTGCACGTCTCCCCCTACCCCGGAAGAGAGGGCCACCCACAAAGAGATGAAGTAAAAGGGTCTCCAGCAGCACGCACCACAATCTCCGGAAGGGTCTGCAGTGTGGACTTGAGCTGGTCGGCCGGCGACAGGGTGTCCGGGAGGTACAGGGCCCGGGACAGGATAAGCAGAGATGTGGGGATCTCCTGGTGCAGATGCAGGTCCAGCCACTGCAGCCAAGGCCAGATTCAGTAAAGGGGCAGCCCCAACCCTGCCGCTACCACAGCAGGCCAACCCCTCATCACCAGAACAGCTCTCAGAGAAGACGGTGTCTCGAGTTCTGAAAGGTCTACCTGTTGCTCTGCTGTGTGACCCGATGCTCTTGCGTTAGTAAACCCAACACCGGAGAGGCTCAGGGGGTCAGCAGCCCAGGTTACTTTGGGAGGCTGAGGCAGGTGGATCACAAGGTCAGGAGTTCGAGACCAGCCTGGCCAAGATGATGAAACCCCGTCTCTACTAAAAATATAAAAAAATTAGCCGGGCATGGTGGTGCTGGTGTGCGCCTGTAGTCCTAGCTACTTGGGAGGCTGAGGCACAAAAATTGCTTGAACCCGAAGGTGAAATTAAGCAGAAATCACCCCACTGCACTCTAGCCTGGGTGACAGGGCAAGACTCTGTCTCAAACAAACGAAACCAGCCGAGGCCGACATACAACAGGCCCGCGGGGCAGCATCATCGAGGCCGGTCAGCACTTGGGGGCCCACAGGCCCCGCACAGGGCAGGTTCTGGGGCTGGCTGCTTGAGTGACACCAAGACAATCTTCAAACGGGCAAGAAAGACTAACAATGTTTTAGACAAAGTGAACACAGGGCAAAACATGAGAACAAACCCTAAGAGAAGAAAGCTGAGGAGAGGTGGGTAGACAAGGAAAGTGTGAACACACAATATGCAGGCCTCCAACGAGCCAGACTCCCCTGGGGGCCGAGGGGCCTGGGTAGGGATGGCACCTGCCCCCCTGCTCAGACACCCCTGTGTGCAGCCCATGTCCCCATTGAGCTCCAGAAGGCTGGGCAGAGTGCCAGGGAGGTCAGCACCCAGGCCAGACACAGAGAAGGCTCTGCAGGGGAATCAGATGGAAGACACAGCTGTGGAAGGCAAGGGGTGACAGTGGGAGGTGCACCTGCCACAGAACCAGGCCATCAACACTGTCTGCATCAAGAGTGGAAGTGTGTTCACACACCTTCGTCTACACTTGCAGGTTGTGTGAAAAGCCCGCCAAGAAGGGCACACCACTGCCAGGACAGCCGGGAGGAAACGCTGGAGCCCTGCACCCCTTATCCTTTCCATGTAAGGGTGAGCGGCCGGGGCTGTCACTTCCCGACATACAAGCCACTCGATGTGATGGCAGTGGGAACCAGGCACCTGTTCACGGTGTGGCCAAGAGAAGAGCTGGCTCCAGAAGTTAGACCAGGTCATGCCACCCAAACCTTCCACGGCCCCAGTTTAAAGAGTCGAAATGTAAACAATCCCACATCTCAGAGGCAAACTCCAGTCCTCATCTGACTACAGATAACCAACATAGTAAGTTATTAAGGTCTAAAATCAACAAAAAGCAGACAAGAAAAATCAAAGCAATATTCAAAAGGCAACGAAAGGAGAGAACACGGGGTGTGTGTGAGTGTGGTAAGACCAGAAGGGCGAGAAACAGCCCAAACTTCCCAGCTGTCCCCAGAGAGTCACAGTGTCACCTTGCCAGGTCCGCCCAGTTTGGGAAGAGCCTCCAGGTGGCCTCAGGAGGCTGCAGTTTCCCCCGAGCCCATGCTGGTCTGGCAGAAAGTGAGCACGCACGCACCTGCTTCAGCTGGCCCCGCAGGCGGTCTTCCGTGACACCCAGGGCCCGCATGCCTCGTGCCCGACACGCCGCCTGCAGCTCCTTGACATTCAGGCTGTCCACCCCTTCCTCAGCAATCAGCTAGAAAACAAAGCAGTGACTTCTCATCCGGGACGGTCGTTGGTGGGTCACGGTCTCTATGCGAACACCCTCCAGAGTGAATGGCTAACAGGTTTAGCCCAGTTCTAGGTCTGAAGTGACTGGAACCCCGTGACAGAGGGTCAGGATCTTGGGGAGTGCAGAATGGCTATGACCAAGCCCATGACACAAAGAAGTCCACCTCCACCCTCTGTGCTGCTGGTGGCAGAACCAGCCCCACCCTGGCCCCTCCTACTACCTGCTGTTTCTGCTGATTCCTATAGTTCACCGTCTGCAAAGGGTACCCAGTATGGAAAAAGGAGGAGGGAGGGGAACCAGACACTCCAAAGATGCATCTTGACCTCATACCCCAAAAGCCCCTCTTCCACTCAGCCCAAGGTCATGGTGACCCCAAATGGAAAAGTAAACAGGCGTCCCGGTACAGAGGCATACAGGGAGCAGCAAGTGAAGAGAGACACGGAGAAGGGATGACAGTCACTGCTAGGCAGATGCCCGCTGCTACCTCGCCCACAACAGGGCTCCCACGCCAGGATTCTGCAGCAGGGCCCCCATTTCAGAGTCCACTCTGCCTCACAAGCACCCTGTGGGGCAGGCAGTGCATCCATCTCCACTTCCAAAACTAAACTTGATGTAACTGTGCACACTCGTCTAGTTGTAACAGGTAACAGAGCTCCCATGCGTAAGATGTCTCTCTGGGCATGACACCTCGCCAACAGCAATAAGACACAGCAGCCACCCAGGGAAGACGGAGGCTGCCTTCCCCAGCTCCCGGCACTGCCCGCTCACAGACACGCTTGTCTCCATGCCTGCAGCTGTCACCCAGAGCGCTCTCTGATCATGCAGGCTGTCACCGCTGGGGTTCCTTGAAGACCTATCGGGGTGTTGTGGGTCCGCCAGGTCAGGCGTCTGACTGCCACGCAACAGGTGTGCCTTCCTTAGCTGAACCCTTTGCCCGCTGAGCTGGGCTGCTTCCTGTTTAGCAGAAATGAAGCTGCTTTCCTCTTCCTGTCCTCCTGTGGGCTGGCTGACTTCCATTTGATTTTGCTCTGGTGGTCTGGGGTCTCCCTGCAGCATTTTCAGCTGCTCTGGGGATCACCATATATAATCCACGAACACAGCTCACCGTAGTGCAGTGGGGCCGGCGCTCCACCCACGGAGGCAAGAGCTGAAGCCTCCTCTCCATCTGTCCTGAGTCTCAGCTTTTGCCTCCACCCGCACCGTCTGCAGAAGGCGCAGGGAGAGCGCAGCCCACCGAGCCGACCCTCACTGCTTGCTGGGAGAGGCGCTCTATCTTCCCGTCTCCTTTCTGGTCGGAGAGCTTCCTTTGGTGGCGGTCTGCCGGTGACAGTCTCAGCTTCCCTCTCTCTGTCTGACACTGCCTTGGCTCCCCCTCATTGCTCTATCTTTGCTGGTTATAGATCCTGGGTTGATAGTTCTTTTAACACTTGAGAAATAATGCTCCACTTCCTGTGATCTCCACGGTTCCTGATGAGAAACCCACTGGCATTCAATTTTCCCCTAATGGTAAAGATGTGGTTCTTGGCCGGGCACAGTGGCTCATGCCTATAATCCCAACATTCTAGGAGGCCAAGGTAGGAGTGTCACTTGAGCCCAGGAGTTTGAGACCAGCTTAGGCAGCGTAACAGTAAGACCTCATCTCTATAAGAAAAACTAAACTGGGCGGGTGTGGCAGCGCATGCCTGTGGTCCTAGCTATTCGGGGGGCAGAAGTGGGAGGATGGCTTGGGCTGCGGAGGTCAAGGGTATAGTGAGTTGAGATTGGGCCACTAGACTGCACTCCAGCCTGGGCAACAGAACCAGACCCCATCTTCCACCATCCCCCACCAAAAAAAGACCTGGGATTCATAAATGAAACCACCACCACCACACACACACACACACACACACACACACACACACACACACACACACGATGGCTTTCTCTCACTGCCTTAAAAACTGTTTGTCACTGGGTGCAGTGGCTCATGCCTATAACCCCAGCACTTTAAGAGGCCGAGGCAGGTGGATCACAAGATCAGGTGTTGGAGACAAGCCTGGCCAACATGGCAAAACCCCATCTCTACTAAAAGCCAGGCGTGGTGGCAGGCACCTATAGTCCCAGATACTCAGGAGGCTGAGGCAGGAGAATCACTTGAACCTGGGAGGTGGAGGTTCCAGTGAGCCGAGATGGTGCCACTGCACTCCGGCCTGGGGAACAGAGCCAGACTCTGCCAAAAAAAAAACTATTAGTCTTCAGGGTTCATTACTTTGACACTGATGTGTCTTGGTGTAAATTTATTTGGATTTATCCTATTCAGGTTCACTCAGCTTCTGAAATTTGCAGTTTCACATCTTTAACGGAGCCTGGGAGGTTTTCAGCCAGCCATTGTTTCTTCAGGTACTTTTTCAGCCCTGCTTCTGTCCTTTTCCCCCCAGAATAGCAGATAACACAGATGGTGGGCGCTTGCTCCGGCCCTGTTCGATGTTTCCTACTGCTTTCCCCTAATGGTAAAGATGCTGTTTTGCTCCGGTGGTCTGCTGTCCAAACAGGTTAGATAAACCATCATCTCTCAGTTTACCGCTTTTCTCACCTTCTCCGTTCTGCCGTTGAGCCCACTCAGGTTTTCATTTTGGTTATTGTATTTTTCAGCTCTAAGTTTTCATTTGGTTCTTCTTTTAAAAACTGTTGTTGGTACTATTAATATTATTATTATTATTTTATTTTATTTTTTTGAGACGGAGTTTCGCTCTTGTTACCCAGGCTGGAGTGCAATGGCACGATCTCGGCTCACCCAACCTCTGCCTCCTGGGTTCAGGCAATTCTCCTGCCTCAGCCTCCCGAGTAGCTGGGATTACAGGCACGCGCCACCATGCCCAGCTAATTTTTTGTATTTTTAGTAGAGATGGGGTTTCACCATGTTGACCAGGATGGTCTCGATCTCTTGACCTCGTGATCCACCCGCCTCAGCCTCCCAAAGTGCTGGGATTACAGGCTTGAGCCACCACGCCCGGCCCCAATATTATTATTATTTTAAGAGACAAGAGTCTCCCTCTGTTGTCCAGGCTGGAGTGCAGTGACACAATCATGGCTTACTGCCTCGTCAACCTCCTCAGCTCAAGCAAACCTCCCGCCTCAGCCTCCTGAGTAGCTGGAGTCATCACGCCCAGCTGTCTTTTTATTATTTTTGTAGAGGTGGGGTCTCACTATGTTGCCCAGGCAGGTCTCAAACTCCTGGGCTCAAGCCATCCTCCCTCCATGGCCTCCCAGAGCGCTGGATTATAGACGTGAGCACTGGGCCTGACCTTGATATCTTCTCTTAATATTATTAATATTTGATAATATCTTAGTATCTTTTCTTCTCTCTCTTTGCCAGGACCTATTTTTCACGTGTTTCCCACTGGCTTCTGAAACTGTGGCTGTTTGAGGCCAGGGTGCAGGGCCTCTGACCTGTCACCTCAGGGTTGGTACCAGGTGTTACCTTTTCTCATTCTCCACCTTCCTGCTTCTTGAATCTGGATCTGATTTCCAGTTTGTTGTAGCTGACCTCCTCTAGAGTGTGGTGGCATGGGCAGTGGGTATTCTAATTTGCACAGAGTTTGCACAATTGATCTGGAATCTATTAATCCCAGGGCCAAGCTAACAAGGCCAAGGCTGTTTCCAGCTCCCTGTGGTCCAGCTTTCACGGACCAACCAAAAACCCTCACGTCTGTTTCCCTCCCTGCCCAGCCACACCCATCTCCACCTGCAGCACACAAGGTAGATAGGCACAGTCCCCACCAGCTTCCTGCTCCCCACGCGTGTGGCGGCTTCATGGAGCCGAGTGACAGGGGAGCTGGGGGTAGCACGTTTCTCTCAATGGCACTGACCTCTCCATGCTGTCACTTGCTCACATCCACAAGCTAAATCCCAGGCACATTGTAAGAGTGGTTGCAGCGCTGCCTCAGGAGAAGTGCGGACTCCCCGCCCAGCCCCCGAAGACACCCCCGGGAGAGCGGTGCTGCTTGCTACTGCTGGGAGCGGGTGGGTGGGAGTTCCGGCCCTCACAGGTGCCTCTCCCGGCAGGAGAGCAGAAGCACCTCAGCACTGTGTCCCACTTGGCTCCCACTGGCACCACAGTGGACATGGCCTTGTTCTGCTGGACAGTGGTTAAAGTCCCAAGTCTCCACTGGGCCCCCAAGGCCACCCCAGCGGTGGGGGAGTGCAACCGATACACTGTCAGGTGAGAGGGAAGCTCAAGCCCCCTGCCTGGTCTCTACTGACACCACAGGGGCTGGCGCCCTCAGCCTTCTCTGACATCATCCCCACAAGGGCTGTGGTGCCTGCTGTGCCCCGGCGAGGGCGGGATGCAGGCTCCTCACATGGCCTTGCCTTGATTCGTGGAAACAACCAGGCCTCAACCTGCTTACCAGAGATGCAGGCAGGCCCTTCCTGGAAGAGGTCAACACTGCCCTGAACCTCTTCCACAGACAATGCCTGCCTTCAGGAAAAACAACCTGATGAACAAAACCAGAAGAAAAGACCCACGCCCACCCAGTGAGCGCGACTGACCTGAACGAGGGTTAGTGCAATTGACATGAACTAGGGTTAGTGCGTTTAAGAAAACAAATAAGGAGACAAAAACTTTTATCTGAGAACCGAAATCTTAAATTAAGAGCTCCTAATATGAATAAAAGAGTAATTGGCCCAGCGGCGGCTCACGCCTGTAATCCCAGCACTCTGGGAGGCCGAGGCGGCTGGACCATGAGGTCAAAAGATCGAGATCATCCTGGCCAACATGGTGAGACCCCATCTCTACTAAAAATACAAAAATTAGCTGGGTGTGGTGGTGCACACCTGCAGTCCCAGCTACTCGGGAGGCTGAGGCAGGAGAATCACTTGAACCAGGGAGTCGGAGGTTGCAGTGAGCTGAGATGGTGCCACTGCACTCCAGCCTGGTGACAGAGCAAGACTCCGTCTCCAAAAAAATAAGAGTAATCACGCCAGGCACAGCAGCTCATGCCTGTAATCCCAGCACTCTGGGAGGCTGAGGCAGATGGATCACTTGAGGTCCAGAGTTCGAGACCAGCCTGGCCAACGTGGCAAAACCCCGTCTCTACTACAAATACAAAAAATTAACTGGGCATGGTGGTGTATGCCTGTAATCCCAGCTACCTGGGAAGCTGAGGCAGGAGAATCGTTTGAATCCAGGAGGCAGAGGTTGCAGTGAGCCGAGATCGCTCCATTGCACTCCAGCCCGGGCAACAAGCCTGGGCAGCTCTGTCTCAAAAAAAAAAAAGAAGAGTAGTCAGACCCAGGAGAGCAGTACCCTGAAAGCACAAAAGGGTGGGAAACACACAGGCGCTGGGATGGTCAGGACAGGGCAAAGGGGCAAACAGACCCTCGACGAGGCCCCCGAGAAGAGGAGAGAGGCGCGGAGGCACTGTCATCAGTAAGCAGGAAGACAGACACACCTCGGCACGTTATTACAACACTGACAAAATCCAAGCACAGACAGACCCTCCGAGAAGCTGCCAGAGAAAAGACACCCATCTTCAAAGGATCTGCGACCTGCAAGTGGCAAAGGTGGCAAGGCTCCTAGTGAGCTTATTTTTGATCATTCAGCACCTTCCAGAGCTTCTACAGCAAGGACAGGCGGCTCTTGTCACCAGGAGAAAAGACGTGGAAGGCCACGGCTGCGGCGTGGGGCGTGGCCGCTCACCTTGTCGTCGGCCTTGATGGAGCGCAGCCGCATGGTGAGTTGGAAGCGCAGGAAGTTGTTGGTGCCGATGGACTGCAGCTCCAGCAGCTTGCACAGCGCCACCAGCTGCGGCCGCGTCAGGTTGTCCAGGGTCAGCTCGTCCTCAAACAACTTGGAAAAACGCATGATCTCCTCGTTGCTGGGCCTCTCCCCTGTCTCCCGGATCTGCGGAAACAGTCACAAAGGTCATCCCCGGGGCATGTGCACACCCAGCGCCCTCCCACGGCCACCCACATTCCCAAAGGGTGCTGCCTCTTAGTCCTCAAACCATACTGACTTCTGTTTTTTTGGAGACAGGGTCTCACTCTGTCACCCAGGCTGAAGTGCAGTGGCACAATCTCAGTTCACTACAATCTCTGCCTCCTGGGTTCAAGTGATTCTCCTGCCTCAGCCTCCCGAGTAGCTGGGATTACAGGCGTGCACCACCACGCCCGGCTAATTTTTGTATTTTTAGTAGAGATGGGGTTTCACCATGTTAGCCACACTTGTCTTGAACTCCTGACCTCAAGTGATCCGCCCACCTCGACCTCAAAACGCTGACTTCTGGCTCCAGTCCCGGGCTAGCCGAGGGAGAGGCAGTGCCTTGCCCCTGGACCCCTCCTGCCTGAGCCAGCACACCCAAGGCTGCTGTGTCTGCTGCGGGGGAGGCCGGGGCCCACCGGCTGCTGTGTGCGGGTCCTTTGATCTCTGCCACAGAAGCGGCCAGGACCCTGCTGCTCTGGGATACGAAGAGGCGCACCTGTGTGCACCTGCACCTCCCAGGGATGACCGCCTGAGCCTCGGGGGTGGGGAGACCATCTCGCTCTTCACGGAGAGCTAGAGCCCCTTAGCGCAGATCACTCAGGGCCCTTTGGGCGACCCTCTGCAGTTCCTCCCACCTGAGGGACAAGTCACCAGCTGTCTCCTCCAAGAGCTGGGGTAGGAGGATCCCTAGCAGAGAGGGCAGATGAGGGAGAACAAGCCCGACTTGGTGCCCAAGTCAAACTGTAACATGAAGGACGCCAGCTCCGAGACAAGGTGGCAGGCGCGCTCCCGGGGGCCGCCCTACACAGCGCATCCCAAAGCAGTGACTGTGAGCACATCTTTCTTGGCAGCTGGGAGGCCCAGGAAAGCTTGGGATGAGCCCTCCTCCTGCTCTGCAAGGTGCCGCATCCTGGGCAAGGCTCCCAAAGCATGACTGCCCCCAGGAAGCACACTCACTCCTCGGGGGGCCTCAGCAGCCCCATGGCTGTGACGCCTCCTCCAAGAGGCTTCTCTGTGGTTAGACCTTGGCCTGGCAGTCTTTTCTATCAAGGGCCAGACAGCAAGCATTTCTGCTTCTGCAGCCATAGAACCCACCTGCCTCTGTGCCGCAGCGGAAAAACACCACAGATGATAAACACATGTGCCTGGAGTTTCTAGCCCCTGGTTTAAGGTCTTTCTGTACTTCAGACACATCTTCGTGACTCCAAAGTGGCACAAGTCCCTCAGGCCAAAGACATTGGCCTCATCAGTCCCATCTAGTCCTCAGGGATCTTGTGTGTGGCACCCACCCTCTCTCCCATCCTCACCTCACTGGCCACATGACCACAGGAAACCTCGAGGGCCGACCCTCCTCTCCAGCCCCCACTGCCCCTGAAGTCCAGGCCTCTGCCCAGCCCCTGGAACCTGCGGCCTTCCTGAATGACTCCAGCCAGAGGGTGGTGCCCAGCAGAGGAGCCAGCCCAGTCACCCACACCTCACAACATCAGGGTGTCAGGCTCCTCATGGGTCAGAGTCTACTGCACCTGGACGGCTGAAGGGTGGCGAGACATAGACACACGTGATTCTGAAGGCTGATGAGGGGCAGGCACCACAGCTCAACTCACTGGGAGCTCACGGGGGCCAGACTCCTGACACTTCACCGGCCCCCCACTGAGCTGCCTAGGGGAGCTCTTCTCTGCTGAGCACAGTGAAGAGAAAACAGAGAAAGCAAGGAGGGGTCCCTGGTGAGGTCACGGGGCTCAGACACGTCACAGCACCTTCTGGAAAAACACGGAGAAGTCCTTGGTGGCACTGCCCTTGGCTGCCTTGTTCTTCAAGGCCATCTCCTCGATGGTGTCCTGCAGGAACTTGGCCAACTCCAGCTTGACCCGAAGCTCCTTCTTCAGCCTCTCCTCCTGCAAGGGCAGAGCGGTGGGCTCAGGAGTGCACTCCAACTGCTCAGACTGGTTTGGACGAGGAGACACCTCATGCCTGCCCGCAGCCCACCCCCAGAAACATTTCACAAAACACTGACTCTCATCTAAGCGCAAAAAATTCTCAAACTCTTTTATTTCATAGTTTAAAAAAATATCCATGGGAGGCTGAGGGGGGCGGATCACCTGAGGTCAGAAGTTCAAGACCAGCCTGACCAACATGGAGAAACCCTGTCACTACTAAAAATACAAAAATAAGCTGGGCGTGGTGGCACAAGCCTGTAATCCCAGCTCCTTAGGAGGCTGAGGCAAGAGAATCACTTGGACCGAGAGGTGAAGGTTGCAGTGAGCTGAGATCGTGCCACTGCACTTTAGCCCAGACAATAAGAGCGAAACTCCATCTCAAAAAAAAAAAAAAAAAACCAAAAACCAAAACCAGAAAAACAAAAAAACCCGTGTGGGCCAGGCATGGTGGCTGATGCCTATGATCCCAGATGTCTGGGAGGCAGAGGTGGGTGGATCACCTGAGGTCAAGAGTTCGAGACCAGCCTGGACAACATGGCAAAACCCCATCTCTACTAAAAACACAAAAATTAGCCCCAGGCATGCACACGTGTAGTCCCAGCTACTTGGGAGGCTGAGGCAGGAGAATCGCTTGAACCCAGGAGGTAGAAGTTGCAGTGAGCCAAGATCACACCACTGCACTCCAGTCTGGGTGACAGAGCAAAATTCCGTCTCAAAAAATAAACAAAACCCATGATCATACTTTCCATAAAGGTCTGGACAGGAAAGCGTCTGGCCTTCATGGGCTGTACGATCCAAAACAACGGCTTACCTCTGCTGGTGCCTCACAGAAGCCACCAGACAAGACACGTGACTCGGCATCACAGGTCCCCACAGGGCAGGCAGGGTCCTGATCTGGCCTGTGGGTTGCAGCTGGCTGACCCTGGCCTGGAAGGACCTCTCAACTTCCCTACAGCATGGAGAACGCCGGCCTAGAAAAACTGTATTTTCAAACACACTTAGCTGGAAGCAGTGCCTCACACGCATAGTAATGCCACTCTAGGAGGTCATGGCAAGAGGATTACTTGAGCCCAGGAGCTTGAGACCAGCCTGGGCAACACGGCCAACCCTGTGTAGCTGACCCTGCCTATAAAAACAAAAAACATCAGTCGGGCTTGGTGGCTCAGCCTGTAGTCCCAGCTATTCGGGAGCTGAGACAAGAGGATCACTTGAGTCCAGGAACTTGAGGCTACAGCAAGCGGTGATCATGCCACTGCACTCCAGCCTGGGTGACAGGACGAGACCCTGTCTCGAAAAATTAGCTGGGTGTGGTGGCACACACGTGTAATCCCAGCTACTTGGGAGGCTGAGGCAAGAGAATCATTTGAACCTTGGAGGCAGAGGTTGCAGTGAGCCGAGATCACACAACCACACTCCAGCCTGGGTGACAGAGCGACTCTGTCTCGAAAATAAATAAAGAGAAACAAATCCAAAACCAGCATCCAGAACTAATTATTGCACAGGATGATATGAAGATACGTAAAGCCTTAGAGATATCTAGCACCCGAAAGAGTCGCAAACGAGGCAGCCATCACAATGAATTTCAGATGCATTCTACGGAAACAACTGGGCTGCCCCCCTTACCTTTATGGACTGGGTCTCAAATGTGGAGGGCAACATGTTGGGGAAGAGCTTCACAGCCACAGGCAGCAGGAACTCCATGAAGGGCACCACCACAAACACAAGGAACGGCACCAGGCGGAAGAGGTCAGCGCAGATCCGGAGAAACTGGAGAGGGGCGGGAATGCATTAGAGGGGACACAGCACATGCGGGAATAGGAGCGAGGGGTGTGAGCACCTCTCCTATGATCCATTACAGGCACAACCTCAGGCAGTGACTCACAGGACCCACTGAGGACTCGAAGTTCCAGAACCCGTTAGCAGACCGGTCCCAAACTCACTTCTTTCTCAGGGCCAAAGCGAATACCAGCAGCCTCCAGAAAAGCAGGGTATGGTGCTGACACCAAGGGCCACTGGGTGCTCCCGGCAATCTGGTCCTCCAAGGCCACCAGCCAGCACCCTGGGCTCAGGGCCCAGCAAGTGAGGGCTGCGGGCTGAGGACTGGGCATTACTAGCGTGCTGGGGGTCACCAGGAAGAGCTGAGCCACACCTGCTTCTGGAGGGCACTTTAGAAGGACGGCTTCTCTTGTGTTCCCTAAGACTACACTACAAAGCAATCGTTAGGAAAAAACCCAAGTGTTTCCTGACATAAACTAACTAGTGTTTGATGCCCTTAAAGAGACGTCCAATTTGAAACAACCAGAAATCCCCATGAAGCCTGAACAACTGGTGGAAAACAGCGAGGCTGATACTGCCCCTCCTCAATGCTGCTCCCTGGGGTCCCCTGGCCAAGGGACCATGTAGTTCCTGTGTTTCCACTGGCTACAAGTGAGCGGTCCCAGGGAGACGGCCTGAGAGCAGCAATGTCCTCCTCCTCCTCACCTCTCTCCCCTCCTGGAGCTCATGGAGCCAGCCTCACTTTCCCATCTGTCATCTGTAGGAGGGAGAACGCTGCCTTCCTGTACATTCATTTTCTCTTTATTATCACACTGGACCCAGAGACGCCTGTATTTTTTCACCGACTTAGAATTTATGGCTGTCTTTATTTCCAAACGGTACCACATCTTTAAAGCTGGGACATGTGTTTTTTGATATGCCCCATTCATTTTTTTAGCAGTTCTACTGAGGTCTAGTTTACAAACCGTAACATTCACCTATTTTAAATCAATTTGGTGATTTTTGGTAAATTTACACATTGTGAAGCCATTGCTACAATCCAAACTTACAACTTTTTGTTTGAGATGGCATCTAGCTCTGTCACCCAGGCTGCAGTGCAGTGATGTGACCTCAGCTCTCTGTACCTCCACCTCCCTGGTTCAGGCGATTCTCCTGCCTCGGCCTCCTGAGTACCTGGGATTATAGACATGTGCCACCATGCCCAGCTAATTTTTTAGTATTTTTGGTAGAGATGGGGTTTCACCATCTTGGCCAGGATTGTCTTGAAGTCCAGACCTCAGGTGATCTGCGGCCCTCCCAAAGTGAGCCACTGCACCTGGCCAGGAAAATAACTTCTTAAAATGTTTGTAAACACAAAAGCAGAACTACAAATCCCATCCTTTCAGAGCACATTTAAGCCCATAGGATGATCTTTAAAAAGAAACCTGGTGCCCCAATCCACGGCTGCATGCCATGGCTCATGCCTCTGATTCCAGCGCTGTGGGAGGCCCAGGCAGCAGGGCTGCTTCAGGCCAGGAGTTTGAAACCAGCCTTGGCAGCACAGTAAGACCCCTGCCTCTACAAAAAAATTCAAAAATTAGCCTGGCGCGGCAGTGTGCATCTGCAGTCGCAGCTACATGGGAGGCTGAGGTGGGAGGATCACTTATGCCTGCAAGGGCTGAGGCTTCAGTCAGCTATGAGGGGGCCACTGCACTCCAGCCTGGGTGGGAGAGCGAGACCCTGCCTCAAAAATAAAAATAAGTAAGTAAATAGCAGAGCCCACAAAAATGTCATATAATCCCTAAGAGCCAGAAACCACGAGGTGTTCTTGGGAGGAAAGGATGGAGCAGACAGATGAGGCTGTGCCTGTGAGGGTGGCCTCCATTCCCACGCAGGCTGCACCCTCTGCGGCCCATGGCGTCCCCGGCACTCACAGAGGCAAACAGTATCTGTACAGAAGAACCTAGCTCACCACCTACTCCACATGAGGTTACCCCTCTGAAGGGGATCCCACCGCTTTTAAATTAAAAAGAAATTAATTGAAAAATGAATTGAGCTTCTAGAGATAAACACATGGGGACTGAGAATAAAACCTCAGTGGCTGCATCAAGCAGTTACTTCCGCTGAAAAGAGAATGAGTAGAACAAAAAGAAATCATCTAGATTGCAGCCCTGAGACAGACAGAAACGAAGACTCTTCCGAACCGGGAGGGAGAGCAGGAGCTGGGGCAGCAGGAGCTGGGGCAGCAGAGGCCAGGCCAGGAGCTGGGGCAGCAGGAGCTGGGGCAGCAGAGGCCAGGCCAGGAGCTCCCGAGAGCCTGGGCACTGGGGAGCGAGCAGGTTCTCGACAGGTGGCAGATGTGGAACCTTGGGGTCAGGAGCAAGGATCCCAAGAATAGAAACAAACTCACCCAGAGGGACACAGGCGGCCCTCCAGACAGACCCGGAAGCAGTAAGAGAGAAGGCCCACAGGTGCCCCCGCGACGCCACTGCGCAGATGCAGACCCTCCCGGGAGACAGAGCAGGGCATCAACAGCGTCAAGGCACGGAGTGGGCAGAGGTGTGTGCTGAAAACTGCCGGTGGGAAGGAGTGAAGCATGAGCAGACGGTGCTGCCATCTGGTGGCAAGGCGCTCACCCACAGGGGTGGTGTGGCAGGTACTGGTTCCAGGCTCCGCTGTCCCTGTCACCAGCTTCCATGGTAACGTCAGGTGTGTCAGGCCTCTGGGCAGGCCTCTGACTTCTCCACCCTCCCTTCCCTTGCCCTAAGGCAGGTCACTAATCTTCCCAACCCTCTGATTATGCGTTTTAAGACCCTCCCTAAAGAGGTTCCCACAAGGAGTGGGGAAGGTCATAACCCAAGCAGACTGGGTTCAAGAAGCTTCCAGAAAGCCGAACGTGTAGGGTTCCGAGGCTCGCACCCCGGGGGCCACGGCAGCTCCATGCCCCTTCCCCGTACATATCTTGCCTTGAGGTCTCTTGATCTGTATCTTTTACACCATCCTTTATAGAAAACTTGTAAACCTAAGTGTTTCCCTAAGTTCTGTGAGTCACTCCAGCACACTAATAGACCCTAAAGGGGGAGGGGCATCACACCTCATGTACCCCCAAATACATACACCTGCCACATACCCACAAAAATAAAAAATTAATAGACCCTAAAGGGGGAGGGGCATCACACCTCATGTACCCCCAAATACATACACCTGCCACATACCCACAAAAATAAAAAATTAATAGACCCTAAAGGGGGAGGGGCATCACACCTCAGGTACCCCTTAAATACATACACCTGCCACATACCCACAAAAATAAAAAATTAAAACAATTTAAAAACAAAGAGGGTGCTGGGCATAGTGGCCCACACCTACAATCGCAGCACTTTCTGACGCAGGCAGACCACTTGAGGCCAGGAGTTTGAGAGCAGCCTGGCCAACATGGTGAAACCCCTCTCTACTAAAAATACAAACGTTAGGAGAACGATCCAAGATGGACGATCGCTAACATCCCGGGGTTGCAGCTCTCAGGGAAGGCGCGGAGAACTAGAGGACGCCACACTTTCAGACACAGTCTGGTCGCTCACGGAGCAGGAGATCCCCCAGTGGTGGAAACACACGAGTCGCCAGCGTGACTCTCGTGGTGGGCGCAGCGGTTCCGCCGGCACCTCGACGCGGCAGCTCTCGGAGCAGAGTAAACAGGACCGGCTCCCCTTCTGACCGAGGTTTGGAGCCCCGGGAAGGCAGAGTCGCCTACTACAGACACAAGAAGGAAGCCAGACAGGAGAATCCTGGGAAGAAAAGCACCATCAGTTTTAACGCAGCTGCTCTGGCCCTGGGAACTAACAACCTGGACGCCCACTCAAGAGACCTAATCTGAAAGTTGGTAATTTCAAAGACTGCAGGAGGATAAATTTACAATGACGGGAAGAAACCAGCGTAAAAAAGCTGAGAATACTCAAAGTCAGAACGCCTCTCCCTCTAAAGATGATCGCAGTTCCACATCGACAATGGAACAAGGCTTGATGGAGAACGAGCACATCCTGATGACAGAATCACTCTTCAAGGAATGGATAATAACAAACTTTGGTGAGTTAAAAGACCATGTTGTAGCGCAATGTAAAGAAACTAGGAACTTTGAAAAAAAGTTTGATGAAATCCTATTGAGAATAGACAACTTAGAGCGGAATATAAGTGAATTAATGGAACTGAAGAATACAATACAGGAACTCCGAGAAGTATACACAGGTTTAAACACTCAAATTGTTCAAGCAGAAGAAGGGATATCAGAGGTCAAAGTCCAACTTAATAAAATAAAACGTGAAGAAAAGATTAGAGAAAAAAGGATAAAAAGGAATGAGCAAAGTCTCCAAGAAATGTGGGACTATGTGAAAAGACCAAATTTACGTTTGATAGGTGTACCTGAATGCGACGGAGAGAATGAATCCAAGCTGGAAAATACCCTTCAGGATATTATTCAGGAAAATTTTCCTAAACTAGCAAAGCAGGACAATATTCAACCCCAGGTAATACAGAGAACCCCACAAAGATATTCCTCAAGAAGAGTGACCCCAAGGCACATAATTGTTAGATTCACCAGGGTTGAAACGAAGGAGAAAATACTAAGGGCAGCCAGAGAGAAAGGTCAGGTTACCCACAAAGGGAAGCCTATCAGACTTACAGCAGATCTCTCAGCAGAAACTCTACAAGCCACAAGAGAGTGGGGGCCAATATTCAACATCCTCAAAGAACAGAACCTTCAGCCCAGAATTTCATATCCAGCCAAACTAAGCTTCACAACTGAAGGAAAAATAAAATCTTTTATGAGCAAGCAAGAACTCAGAGATTTTATTACCACCAGGCCTGCTTTACAAGAGCTTCTGAAAGAAGCATTACACACAGAAAGAAACAACCAGTATAGCCTTTCTAAAAATATACCAAAAAGTAAAGAGCACCAACATAAAGAAGAATTTACACCAACGAATGGATAAAACAGCCAGTCAACATCAAATGGCAGTAACCCTAAATTTAAATTGACTGAATTCCCAATCAAAAGACACAGCCAAAACCCAACGGCATGTTACATCCAGACCTGTTTCACATGCAAGGATACACAAAGACTCAAAACAAAGGGATGGAGAAAGATTTACCAACCAAATGGAGAGCAAAAATAAATAATAAATAAATAAAAAGCAGGAGTTGCAATTCTTGTATCGGATAAAATAGATTTTAAAGCAACAAAGATATAGTGGTAAAAGGATCAATGCAACAACAAGAGCTAACAATCCTAACACCCAGATACGAGACTTAGATTCAATGAGACAGAAAATTAATAAGGATATCAAGGACTCGAACTCAGATCCAGAACAAGTAAACTTAATAAATACTTATAGAGCTCCCCACTTCAAATACACAAAATATACATTCTTGTCAATACCACATCACACCTACCCATTAGTTTAAATGAAACATTAATTGGCTATTATTAATACCCAATTTTTTTCAAAATAAAGCAATATTTCCATTTACTCTCCCTCTTTCTCTTCCTCTTTCTTCCTCTCCTTTACTTATTTTTTTTTTTTCTTTCCTTCTCTCAAAAAAAAAGAAATCAACTTGTAAACCTCTAGATCCAGGTCGGCAATGTCTCTTTCATTGCTTGATTTCCTTTCTTCCCTTCCCTCCCTCCCTCCCTCCCTCCCCGCTTCCTCCCTTCCTTCCTTCCTTCATCCCTTCCTTCTCCCTACCGTCCTTATTCCCTTCCTTCCTGACTTCCTCCCCCCCGCCAAAAAAAAAAAAATACAAACATTAGCCAGGTGTGGTGGTGCACGCCTATAGTTCCAGCTACTCAGGTGGCTGAGGCAGGAGAATCACTTGAACCCGGGGAGGTGGAGGTTGTGCCACTGCACTCCAGCCTGGGCAACAGTGAGACTCTTGTCTCAAAAAGTAAGAACAGAGGGGGTGGTGCGACCCTAACTTGAAGCCAGTCCATCAGAAGCTCCGAGCGGTCTGGACTTGAGACTGGTGGGGGGCATGTTGGGGACAGAGTCCTCATCCTGTGGGATCTGACACTATCTCCGGGTAGATGGTGTCGGAACTGGGTTAGGGGACACCCACCGGGTGTAGATGACTGTTGTGGTGGAGGGTAGAGGAAGCATACGGGTAGATCGAGGTTTCCTAGGCAATAGATTTTACTGATTTTTTTTCTCCATCAAATAGAAAGCAAGCCCTAAAAATATTTTTCAACCAACCTATACAGTGAAAACAACTCGGGCATGGCCAAGTACAGTGGCTCACGCCTGTAACCCCAGCACTTTAGGAGGCTGAGATGGGAGGTTCGTTTGAGCCCAGGAGTTTGAGACCAGCCTGGGCAACAAAGTGAGACCCTGGATCTACAAAAAATAATTAGCCAGGTGTGGTGGCACATGCCCGTGGTCCCAGCTACTTGGGAGGCTGAGGCAGGAGGATCGCCCATGCCCAGAAAATCGAGGCTGCACTGAGCCATCATTGCACCACTGCACTTCAGCCTGGGTGACAGAGCAAGAAAAAATAGAAAGGACTGGACAGGGCCCCATTACCTGCCTGCGTTCCCGGCGGGTCAGGGTGTGGCCGTTGAGGATGCGCCAGAGCATGCGTGCCGCGATCTTGGTGTCGATCCACAGCAGGCGGAAGCCATGGTAGTAGTGCTTCAGCTCGTCCAGCACCCTCTGCCCGAGGGACTTCTTCACCACCACCTCTGCGGGGGGGCTGTACACAGGGCCGCCTTCCTCCAGCTTCTTGTTCTTGTCCTTCAAGGACTTGAGGGACTTCTCCACTACCGAGTCATCGCGGACAGGACGCGAAGAGTGCCAGCCGCGCACAGGAAGGCACTGAGGTCCCACAAACACAAAACCCACAGATGTGGAGGTCCATGGCGCTCTCGACACTGCGCGAAGGCATTCGGGCCTCAGAGTCCAACAGCCAAGGGGATCGCCTCTGAAGGATGGGTACACGGGGTGGATGGGAGCACAGCAGCCCAACGGAACACTCCTTGAAAGGGGAAGAGTACAGATGGTAGTAAGGGCCAGTACCAGCCTCCGACAGCTCAGCACCAAACACCAACAGCAGCAAAACTCACATGCCTTGTGCCACGTCATGCCACAACCACACACACACAATCCCACCTACTCCCTGATGTCTGCACTGCCCCCTGGGGAGCCCTTCAGAAGGGAGACCAGGACAGTGCGCAGCCCCTCAGCCCCACACCATGGGCTTGCCGGCCCCCACAGAAGGACGGGCAGGTCAGACACAGGCACAATCAGCAAAGGCTGGATCCCTAGGTGGGCCTCACACCCCCACACCCAGTGACTTGAGGAGGTAGGGTGCATTGTTTTGGCACTTCATGGGGGAATGGGGTGCAGAGTAGGGTTTGCTGAGTTTGGAGGTCCTCTCCTCTAACAGGTGACTTTCTAGAAAGACCTATGGCTCCTGAGCAAGTCCTCCAAATCAGCAAGGGCGCCTGCTGACCTCACCTTCCCACACTCCCTTCCCACAGAGACCAGCACAAAGCAGCAAGGTCCAAAGAATAAGGCCCAAGGCCCATCTCCTCCTCTACCCACCCCCGCTGTGTCCGGGACCAGCAGGCTCTCAGCCTAGAGCCTCTCAGCTGTCCCTGCCTGGACATCCCTAGCTGAGACCTCCCTGACCATCCACCACTCTGTCCTCCTAGCGGGTGCCCTGCTGATACCTGGCTGTCTTAGAGACCAGATGTACACTGTGTGCACCACACTTGCTTTCTCCCTACGGGAATGTGGGCTCCTGAGGGCCACACATCAGGCCTCACAGGCGGCAGCGGGAGGCTGGCACTAACCCAGACCCATCTCGGTCCATGCTGCATTGGTCCCAGCAGCCGCCTGTGCCATACCTACTCACAGAGAGGCCGTGAGGAAGCCACTGCAGCCTGAGCTTCTGCAGCATGGCCTGTGCCTGGCCCAGAACCTAGGGTTTGTGCTCAACACAGACTACGGTCTGACCGCAGGGCAATGCTGTGACTCCACTTACGGTCCAAAACTGAAACAGCTAACTGTGTCAGGCCCCTTCAGGCTCACGATCTCCTGCATGTCTCGCCGAGCACACTAGAAACTCCCCTGCTGCTTGGGCACAAATCCCCCCGGCGGCCCCAGCTCACCTCAAAGGCCACGTGTGTTGCACACGAGCTCCTTCTGCCTCCATCGGCCCTCCATGCCTGGCCTGATGCCAGCAGCGAGGTCGGGCTCCAGAGCACACTGTTGGAGCTCAAATTCCAGCTCCACTTCTTACTGCTGTGTGACCTTGACTGAGTAACCTGACCTCTCTGTGCTTTGGGAGCCTCCGTCATGAATTTGTGCTGACGATACTAACTACCAGGATGGTACCTGCAACATGGAAGTCACCAATGTCCCGGCATGTTGCTGCTGACGACACTAACTACCAGGATGGTACCTGCAACATGGAAGCCACCAACGTCCCAGCATGCTGCTGCTGATGATCGATACTAACTACCAGGATGGTACCTGCAACATGGAAGTCACCAACATCCCAGCATGCTGCTGCTGACGATACTAACTACCAGGATGGTACCTGCAACATGGAAGTCACCAACATCCCAGCATGCTGCTGCTGACGATACTAACTACCAGGATGGTACCTGCAACATGGAAGTCACCAACATCCCAGCATGCTGCTGCTGACGATACTAACTACCAGGATGGTACCTGCAACATGGAAGTCACCAATGTCCCAGCATGCTGCTGCTGACGACACTAACTACCAGGATGGTACCTGCAACATGGAAGCCACCAACGTCCCAGCATGCTGCTGCTGACGATACTAACTACCAGGATGGTACCTGCAACATGGAAGTCACCAATGTCCCGGCATGCTGCTGCTGACGACACTAACTACCAGGATGGTACCTGCAACATGGAAGTCACCAATGTCCCGGCATGCTGCTGCTGACGACACTAACTACCAGGATGGTACCTGCAACATGGAAGCCCCCAACGTCCCAGCATGCTGCTGCTGACGACACTAACTACCAGGATGGTACCTGCAACATGGAAGCCCCCAACGTCCCAGCATGCTGCTGCTGACGACACTAACTACCAGGATGGTACCTGCAACATGGAAGTCACCAACGTCCCAGCATGCTGCTGCTGACGACACTAACTACCAGGATGGTACCTGCAACATGGAAGCCCCCAACGTCCCAGCATGCTGCTGCTGACGACACTAACTACCAGGATGGTACCTGCAACATGGAAGCCCCCATACTAACTACCAGGATGGTACCTGCAACATGGAAGCCCCCAACGTCCCAGCATGCTGCTGCTGACGACACTAACTACCAGGATGGTACCTGCAACATGGAAGCCCCCATACTAACTACCAGGATGGTACCTGCAACATGGAAGCCCCCAACGTCCCAGCATGCTGCTGCTGACGACACTAACTACCAGGATGGTACCTGCAACATGGAAGCCCCCAACGTCCCAGCATGCTGCTGCTGACGACACTAACTACCAGGATGGTACCTGCAACATGGAAGTCACCAACGTCCCAGCATGCTGCTGCTGACGACACTAACTACCAGGATGGTACCTGCAACATGGAAGCCCCCGACGTCCCAGCATGCTGCTTTCATCACCACCCCCTTATGGCGGTGGAGGAGCCACCGATCAGGGCTGCAGGCCAGGTCTGTTTCTCTGATGGGGATCCTGGAGGCCTGCAGGCACAGGCCTGCCTCAGCCTACAGCCTGGAGAGGGCAGTGCAGCTGGCACAGGGCACCACCAGCCCAGAGCAGCTTCGAGTGAGCACACATCAGGGTCAAAAGCCAGAGTGGCTGGGGCTCCACTGTGGCACCAGTCATGGTCTGGGACCTCCCCCAAGAACTCTCCCAGGCTTGAAACCTTCCCTCAAGTACAGACAGGCAAAGCCAACACTGACCTCACGGCCAGGTCCTGAAGAATAGGGAGACATGCAAATACACAGGGAAGTGCCTGCTGGGCACCAGGGAGGCCTGGGAGGGGTGGGGCAGAGGACAGGCACCCCACCCTTGGTCACCTCCCCAAGTGAGGGCAGCTCCCGGCTCTCTTTCAGGCCCTGGCCTAGCCCCATCCACCATGTCTCCAGGTTCTCCCCAGCTCTGGGGTCACCTCTGAGCCAGGAAAAGGCTCCAAATCCAGGCAGCCCTGAGTCATGACATGCCGAGAGCCAGGCCACACAGAATGCAGCAGAGCCCGCGCAGGCTCAGCCTGCCCCCGACCAGCCTGCGGTCCTTCTGTGAGGTGGCCTCACCTTCCAGTGTGGATGATGACAGACCCATGCACAGAACACACCCTGCATCAAGCTGAATTACACAACTTTCCAACCCTCAGTTAGCAAGGAAGATGGTGGCTTCCACAAGAAGGCATGGCACCAGCAGTCACCGGGTATCGACAGGCAAACATGAAGGCTCAGAAAACCAGAGCAGAGACGCGCAGAGCAGACTTGGCGAGGGCAGGGAGCCATGCAGAGCTGGGCGGGCCCACAGGGGGCCTGCTCAGTAACATCCTCCAGCAATCCCAGCAGCTGGTGATAGATGCCTGCAGTCCCAAATACTCAGGAGGCCAAGGTGGGAGAATGGCTCGAGCCTGGGAGATCAAGGCTGCAGTGAGCCATGACTGCACCACGGCACTCTAGCCTGGGCAACGGAGTGAGACTCTGTCTCAATAAATAAGTAAACAAACGGAATATTCCCAAGTGGTTTGATGGGTTTAATGACATTTCAGTTACAACCCCAAAAAGACTGTTTTAGAACTGGAAAGTCTAAACAAGAAATCAAAGGAATTTAGGAGGAGGATAGACAAGAAATCAAAGGAAGGTCCAGAGAGATGAGGTTTGGGGGAACCGGTCCCCTGGGAGGAACACCTGCTGGAGAAAACGGCGGCGGCAGCAGCCAGGCGCGGTGGCTCACACATGCGATCCCAGCACTTTCGGAGGCTGAGGCGGGCGGAACATGAGGTCAGGAGTTCAAGACCAGCCTGACCAACATGGTGAAACCCCGTCTCTGCTAAAAATACAAAAATTAGTGTAGTCCCAGCTACTCAGGAGGCTGAGGCAGGAGAATCGCTTGAACCTGGAAGGCGGACTTTGCGGTGAGCAGAGATCACATCGGTGCACTCTGGCCTGGGAAACCAGAGCGAGACTCCGTCTCAAAAAAATTAAATTAAAAAAAAAAAAGAAGAGAAATCTAATGGAAAGCTAAGGCCGATGCTGTGGCAGTGGCGAGGCTGAGGGAAGGCCTGGTGAGGGTGCACAGAGACGGGACTACGCTGGCAAACAGAGGCTCTGTCGTGTCTACAGCAAACGCCGCGTGTGTGCCCAGGGACTCCAGCCCCGAAACACTCCCTTCGTGGCCCTGCTGCTTACGGCAGTTCTCTCCAAATCCACTCAGCTGAAGGTATGTTTTAAGGAAGGCCATGTTTTCACACGTGAATTGTTTTTACTTTAGGGAATTCAATCCCAGGAACCACCAGAGAAGGTTCACAGCTGAGAGGAGACACAGCAGCAGCCTGGAGTGAGCAGCCAGTGACAGGGCTTGGAGGAGGAGGAGGGTGTCTCAGTCCTGCTCCCCCGCACAGGAAGCAGGAGAGTCGGGAGAGGAGACGAGCGCTACTGCGGCCTTCTGGACCTGAGAGCCCAGGCGAGACTAAGTGAGGGGGATGCCGGGCAGAGGGACAGCACGCAAGAGCGTGGCGGCCTCCAACCAAGCTCAGGACAGGGCTGCAGGTGCTACTCCCTCCAGGAAGCCCTCTTGGCCTGGCCCGCCAGCCTGGCGGGACCACAGTCTCTATGCTGCACTGTCACCACGTGTTGGTATTACTTGCCATCTTGCTGGACTGTGATTGCCACAGGGAAGGGTTAAGCCCGAGCCGGGCACGGGAACGCCACACCTACACCCCGTGGTTGCAGGCACCTGCGGAGTCTGCTCTGTGTTCACAGATGGATCCCACACCCACAACACTGCCTGGCGCATCCAAAACACCTTTTACAAATATTATTTTTAGTGGAAAGCCATGAAAAATGGCAACTGTGTGAAGAATAAGAGAGACTACAAACCAAGTGCTTCTTCATCCTGGTTCCTGGATGACAGCTGACCCACAGATGTCAATGCATAGAAGATAAAGGATTGGGGCCGGGCGCGGTGGCTCCCGCCTGTAATACCAACACTTTGAGAGGCCAGTTTGAGACCAGCCTGGGCAACATAATGAGACCCTTTCTCTACAAAAAATTTAAAAGTTAGCCAGGCAGGGTGGCACATGTCTGTGGTCCCAATCTCAGCTCACTGCAACCTCAGTTACCCAGCAGACTGAGGTGTGAGCGTCCCTTGAGCGCGGGAGTTTGAGGCTGTAATGAGCTACGGTAGTGCCCTGAGCTCCAGCCTGGGTGACAGAGCAGGAACCTGCCTTGAAAAAAAGAAAAAAAAGAAAACTGCACGTGTTAAAAACCAGATACATTCCGTAAAGTTCAGGGTAAAGCGCAGTGAAGTGCTCACCTAACACTGTCCATGCGTTCTTAGAAAATGCAACTTTAAGCAAAAAGACCTGTAAGAAAACCAATTTTTTCTCATCCAAAGTTATAAATAAAATGTTATTGAGGACCTTAAAGTTGTAGTTTCTGCCGGGCACGGTGGCTCACACCTATAATTCCAGCACTTTGGGGGGCCGAGCCAGAAGGATCACGGGACGTCAGGAGTTTAAGACCAGCCTGGCCAACATGGTGAAACCCTGTCTCTGCTAAAAATTCAAAAATTAGCCAGGCAGAGTGGAGCATGCCTGTAATCCCAGCTACTCCGGAGGCTGAGGCAGGCTGCGATGAGCCAAGATTGCACCACTGCACTCCGGCCTGGACAAGAGCTAGACTCGGTCTCAAAATAAATAAATAAATAAAAGTTGCAGTTTCCAAGAACCTACAGACATTAGATGACACTGACTGTGCACCAAAGTACTGACATCTGCCACCGGGCCCTGAGGTCAGGGACGTTCATTCACTTCCGAAATTCACTGAGGCACGTGACAATCACTTTCAACATGGAAAGATGAAGGTTTAAAAGAAACAAAGAACAGGAAAATAGGATACACTGTTTCCCTCAAACACATTTCCAAGCTGTTTTCAGACAGGTGCAGAGTGCCGCTGAGTTACTCACAGGCAGCTCCTTGACCCCAGGGTGCTGGTACAGCTGAGACGTGCAGGATCCCCCGGACTACCTGTAACAGGGACAGGGGAGAGTAAAAACGGCGTAAATCGGGGATTTATACCAATGTCTTTCTTTTTTTGATCTTTTTTTTGAGGCACAGTTTCTCTCTTAAGCCCAGGCTAGAGTGCAATGGCATGATCTCAGCTCACCGCAACCTCCTGGGTTTAAGCCATTCTCCTGCCTCAGCCCCCTGAGTAGCTGGAATTACAGGTGCCCACCACCATGCCCAGCTACTGTGTGCGTGTTTTAGTAGAAATGGGTTTCGCCATGTTGGCCAGGCTGCTCTCAAACTGTTGACCTCAGGGGATCCGCCTGCCTTGGCTCCAAAAGTGCTGGGATTATAGGCACGCACCACCATCTCCAGCCTTTTATTCATTTTTATTTATTTATTTGACTTTGCCAGGGCAGGAATGCAGTGGTATGATCACGGCTCATGGCAGCCTTGAACTCCTGGGCTCAAAGGATGCTTTTGCCCCAGCCTCCCAAGTACCTGGGACCACAGGTGAGCACAATTATGCCTGGCTAATTTTTGTGAGGGGCTTCGCTCTGTTGTCTAGGCTGGTCTCCAACTTTTGACCTCAAGCAACCTTCCTGCTTCAGCCTCCCAAAGTGCTGGGATTACAGGCATGAGCTACCATGCCCAGCATAATATCTTCTTCTAAAGTCTGAAAGAAGGCCAGGCACGGTGGCTCACGCCTGTAATCCCAGCACTTTGGGAGGCCTAGGCAGGTGGATCACCTGAGGTCAGGAGTTCAAGACCAGCTTGACTAATATGGCGAAACCCTGTCTCTACTAAAAATACACAACGAGTCGGGCATGGTGGCACGTGCCTGTAATTCCAACTATGTGGGAGGCTGAGGCAGGATAATTGCTTGAACCCGGGAGGAAAAGGTTGCAGTGAGCCAAAATCACGCCATTGCACTCTAGCCCGGGCAACAAGAGCGAAACTCAGTGTCTCAAAAAAAAAAAAAAGTCTGAAAGAGTACAGATCTCTTTCGTAGAAACCTCTGTGTGTAAGTCTCTGGAAGCCAGTTCCGAGTGTTGGAAGGTATCAGAACACTGCTAAGTGAAGGGTCTGCCCCAGTTAGGAAAACAGTATTGCAAAGTAGTCCTAAAGAAAGATGGGGAGCCTCAAGTAAACCCTGGCTCTAAACACCCAAGAGGGAAGCCAAGCAGGCCAGCCCCAGGGAGGGAGCATCCTACCAGGTGGCACCATCCCCACTCACTGCAGTTGGCTCTGGTGGACACATGACCTCTATGCAGACAGCCCTATGGAGCAAGCAAGAGCAAACATCCCAAGAGGCAAGAGCTGTAAGAATTACTAGAACCATAAGCCGGGCGTGGTGGCTCATGCCTGCAATGCCAGCATTTTGAGAGGCTGAGGTGGGTGGATCACCTGAGGTCAGGAGTTCAAGACCAGCCTGGCCAACATGGCGAAACCCCATCTCTACTAAAAATACAAAAATTAGCTGGGCCTGGTGGTGCGTGCCTGTAATCCCAGCTACTCAGGAGGCTGAGGGAAAAGAATTGCTTGAACTCAGCAGGTGGAAGTTGTAGTGAGCTGAGATCACACCATTGCACTCCAAAAAAAAAAAAAAAAAAAGCTAGTGGAATAAGCCATTTCTTATATGAACAACAGTGAGGAGTGTGTAGCGCATTTTAAGGATTTTAACATATTTTTTGATGCTTTCTCTAACTTGCTTTAGTCCCTATAAGCATAGAGTTCATTCATACTACTGATGTTCAGGGCCCACTGTGATCAAACCTCACGCTGGGAACAACACACGTATAGGAGCAGCAGGGCCAGAGGAGCAGTGCCAGGAGCCAGCAGGTGGCACCCTGAGGTGCCTCTCCAGGCAGTGGGGTGGCAATGAGTCCTCAGCCAGGGAGCTGCAGGAGCAGCTGTAAGCTGTGGGGCGCTCACTCCGGCCAGCTACAAGATCCACGTGTGAAGAGGAACAAGATGGGGAGGACAGGCACCTCATTAAATAGGGGCAACTCTCATACTCCCATGGGGAAGGAAATTCCCACAATGGGCCACATTTAGGGCTTGTAACAGTCTGGTCTGTAAACTGGGAGCTCAGTTAAGGGGAAGATGTTAGCTATGTTCTCATACACATCAAGTTACAAGTTAAAATTTAAAAGCACAGTGCGACTGAGCACACCAAGACCCTTCTCACTCCAGCTGAGGACCAGCTCTGGCCCCTACCTTTCTCCACATGAAGGGGCTCAGCACCTTCTCCGATATCTTCCCCACACCACGGCACCTTCAGCCCCCCACCCCTGCCCTGGCCAGCTCCTGTACCTCAAGGGCTCAGCCCAGCAAGCAGACAGGCTGGCAGGTAGGTCTCCCAGAGCTCCCTTATCTGCCCCCCAGTGACCCCACTTTCTAACACTTCCTGTCCCACCGGCTCCCTTCCTAGGCTCTTCCCAAAACCTGTTCTGAAGGCTTCTGTCCCCAGTTCTCCAAGGAACCCACAGTCAAGGCTGTCCAGGGTGATGGGGATCACTGCTCCGTGTGATCAACAAAAGCCCTTCTGTTCTTTTTTCCAACACCGACAATTCTCCAACTGGGAGTTCACCAATTTAATTCCACACTGACACTACCCAGAATTAGAGCAGACCCCACAGGGTGAGGGCTCAGTCCCACAAGATTGCCCCCACTCCATGTGCCCAAGCTACCCACACTTCAGCTGACTACAAAGCGGGGGGTTCCCATGAGCACTTTGGTCTTGAAAATTCACTAAAATGGCTCAGATGTCAGCAACGGGTTCTTACTATCACAGTTCATTATAAAGGGTATCCAGGAACAACCAGAGAGAGAGGCCAAGACACCAAGGCCAGGGAGGTCCTAAGCACAGGATCCTTGGGTGCTGTGGAGCGGCACACACCACTGGGAAGCCTCACCAGCCTGCTCACCCAGAAATTCTCATCAAGGCTTCATGATTGATTGCGGTACTGGCCCACTGGCCATGGGGACTGAACTAACTCACCCCTCCCTGGAAGGGGCAGGAAGTTCCCACCCTCTAATCACAGCACGCTCAGTGCCACCACTGGAATCTAAGGGCCTGCTTGGAGTCACCGCATTAGCATAGACTCAGGTGCAGTGATAATGAAAAGAAGACACTCCCAAGCTCATGCCTGTAATCCTAGCACTTTGGGAGGCCAAGGTGGGAGAGGATTGTTGCTGAGCTCAGGAGTTCAGCCTGGGCAACATACAGAGACCCTATCTCTATAAAAAATAAACAAATGAGTCGGCAGGAGGATCGCTTAAAGGCTGCAGTGAGCCATGATCGAGCTGCTGTACTCCAGCCTGGGCAACAGAGCAAGACCCTGCCTCAAAAAACAAGTGAAAAACGACACTCCCATCATTCAAGAAAGTTCCAGGGTTTTCAGCCCTCAGTGCTGATGCCAGGATCAGGTCAAAGACTGAATGCATTTCTGACCATTACATACCTTTCTTCACCTGGGAGATCCTCCCTACCTGACCTCCACCTCCTCCCCAAGTGCCCCCCAGGTCTGATGGACTCCGCACAGTCAACACCTCCAAGAACTCTCAAATCGCTTCCCCACTCTGCTCTTCCCCAAGTCTTCTCCAGTTTCAACAAATGGCTCTGTTGTCCCCAGGCGGCTCAGGCCAGCGGTCACCTCTCCCACACAGCCCTTGGAGTCAACCCTGCTTCTACCCGTGTATGGAGAGGCAGGAGAAGAGCAACTGGGCAGTGAAAACCTGACCACCGCCACTTCAGCCTGCTAATCAAGGTCAACATCCACAGTGACAAATCATTCTGACAGCATGGAGGCTTGATGGGACGTGATGAGAACACTCCACTCCGTGGTCTTCCTCCCGAAAAATCATCTTTCCCAGCTTAATCGTGAGGAAACATCAAGAAATACCAGTAGAGCAGCACCTTACACGGCAACTGAGCAGTCCTCACAGCTGGCAAGGTCACTGCGGACAAGGAAAGCCTGAGAGGCAATCAAGAAGGGTGGTGCAGATGGGTCCCAGGACAGAAAAAGGCCCTCAGAATGAAGAATGGGAGAGAAAAGAAAACCTGTGACAGTGAGCCTCAGCGTGTAAGATGCTAAGAGCAGGGGCCTACAGCCTTCCACTTGGTGCACCACTCACAGGGATCAGGAGCCTCCTCCACAGTCCAGCCCCGGGTCTCACTGGCTCTGAAACACACCTGCTGTCTAACCCATTATCGGCCCCTTAGAGTCCCTGTCACAAAGTGCAGTGATAGCCACAGAAGATGCCCGTGCTCACGAAATGACAGAATGACACATAAAAGGCTATTATTATTTTTGCCAAAAACCTGTGACATAAGCACCAAGTGGCAAAAGTACTTCTATGATCACCAGGAGGCCCAGAGAGAGCTCTAAGGTTTCATGCAGCAACTAGGAAGACCAGACGCTGCGCTTCACCTTCACACTGTGCGTTGCCACCACTCCAAAACTCTCAGTGGCTAAGCAGCCATTATTTCGAAAAATTACAAGAACTGGGGGCTGTGCGCGGTGGCTCACGCCTGTAATCCCAGCACTCTGGGAGGCCCAGGAGGGTGGATTACTTGAGATCGGGAGTTTGAGAACATCCTGGCCAACATGGCGAAATCCCATCTCTACGAAAAATACAAAAATTAGCTGGTAATGGTGGTGGGCGCCTCTAATCCCAGCTACTCGGGAGGCAGAAGATTCACTAGAACCTGGGAGACGGAGGTTGCAGTGAGCCACGATCACATCCCTGCTCTCCAGCCTAAGCAACAGATAAGAGACTCTGTCTCCAAAAAAAAAAACAACACACACACACAAAATTGGGAGGATACAGGCAACTTCAATCTTCAAATCTCTCTGCGGGAAGGGGGAAAACAGGGAGACAAGAATTGAAGCTGGTGGCTCCTGTAGTCCCAGCACTCTGGGAGACCAAAGCAGGAGGATCACTTGAGTCTAGGACTTCGAGACCCCAGGCTGGCCAACATAGCAAGACTCTGACTCGACAAAAAAAATAAAAAACAAAATTAAAAAAAAAGCCCCCAAAAATTAGGTGGCCGTTGTGTGGCACAACTCGCAGCTTGGGAGGCCGAGGCAGAAGGAGCTTGAGCGCAGGAGTTTGAGGGCTGCTGAGTATGATTGCTCCGCTGCACTCGGTTCCTTTCCTGGAGTCTCTCTTAGTTTTACGTTCGTTGCAATTTTACAAGGAAGGACGTGAACTGAGATAAGCTGGTTAACCGGAGGGAGGGGGAGTGGGGGGCACACCCCGGGAGGGCATTCGCTGCAGACAGCTCCGCAGGCCACGCACCCCAGGACTCTCCCCGGGGCCGGAGTCCGCGTGTCCCCCGCGTGCAGGTCGCTGGCATCACGTCGTCGGTGACGGGCGGGGAGGGCTCCCGCAGCCCACCCAAGGCTCGCCCCGGGGACCCCAATCGCGGCCAAAGGCCGCGCGCTCCACCCGGCTCACCAGGCCTGTGTGGGAGGCAGTGACCCGCGGGGACCCGGCCGCCTAAGGTCAAAGCACGAGGCCCAGGCCCAGCGGCGCGGCCCAGCCCGCAACGAGACCCGGACCGCCGGGCCCCCGCGTCGCCGTGACAACCAGCCCCGCCCTGGGGCGCCCACCGCTTACCCCGCGGGGCGGTGGCTAGAGGCGACGGCCGGAGGCGGGCGGGCGCCCGGCCGCGGCAGCTCCTCAGTAAGATGGACGCCATGTGCCCGGGCGCGGCGGCCGCTCCGGCCTCCTGCGCTGCCTCCTCCTCCTTCTCCGCCTCGGCTGCGGCTCTTCGTCGACCCGGCGGCGCCTCAGGCCCGGCCCGCGCGGACGGTTGACGGCGGGGGTTGACCCCGGACTGCAGGCGCTCAGCTTAAAGATCCGGCACCGCCGGCGGCCTGGTCCCGGCACAGACGTCCCGAGGCGCGGGGCGGGGCGGCCAGGCCGCTGCTCCCATTGGGCCCCTCGGCGCCCGCGGCCGGCCAGGTGAGGGGCGGACCGTGCCACCGCGGACTACCGGTTCCGGCGTGCACCGGGGCGGCCTGCACTCTGGGGCGCGGACTACCGATCCCGGCGTGCACCGGGCCGGCCCGTACTCTGGCGCGGACTACCGATCCCGGCGTGCACCGGGGTGCCCACACCCTAAGGCGTGGACTACCCGTCCCGGCGTGCACCGGGGTGCCCATACCCTAAGGCGCGGACTACCCGTCCCGGCGTGCACCGGGGTTCCCACACCCTAAGGCGCGGACTACCCGTCCCGGCGTGCACCGGGGTGCCCACACCCTAAGGCGCGGACTACCCGTCCCGGCGTGCACCGGGGTGCCCATACCCTAAGGAGCGGACTACCGGTCCCGGCGTGCACTGGGGGGAGAGCTCCTCGAGGCGCGCTGCATCCTGGTTCCAGTCGTTCGGTAGACGCTGGGGCTCGCAGGAGCTGAGGGAGCCGGCTGCGCTGGCGCGGTGATTGATGGTCTTTTCGTCTCCGAGCGGTAGCAGCAGCGGCTGTGTCCGAAACTTTTCTGGGACCAAGTCCTGCACCCACGAGTAGAAAACGGCTCCTGGGACCTTGGGGCTCCAAGGGCAAGTCAGGGGACGCTGGGATGGAGGGTCGCACTCGGCCGTGGTCTCGCGCCGGCCTCCGCCTGCCCGTGGCTCTGCCTTCTGCGGCCGCACCGTGACACGCGCAGCCCTGAGTGCCCCTTCCCGCGGGACCACGCGGCGCTCCCCGGACACCGCGCTGCTCGGCGTCGGGAGTCCCGCCCACCACTGAGGGGACCGGAGCGCAGGATCCCGTCCCAGGACAGAGCCCCGCCGGCCTCCGGATGCGGGCGCAGTAGTCTGTGTGGCGGCGCAGCAGGCGCGGCACCCCCTGCGTACGAATAGCGCATCCTCCGGGCTGGGCGGGAGGGCTGGATGTGGTCCTGCGTGGGCGCAGGGGGGCCCCGCGCTTCGCTCTGGCCTAAGCAGCCCCTGGGGTCCCTGGGCCGTACCCTGTCCGCTCCACCTCCCAGTCCAGGACGCCAGGGATTTGGCTCGGAGTCTCCAACCCGCCAGAGCTGCGCTGGATCTCCCGAAAGCCTCGCCCGGCCCCGCCGAATACAGCCCTGACCAGCGCTGGGGAGCGAGACCGTGACCTTTGAGCTCCACCGTCCCCTTCATTGCTTCAGACGAGGACCCCTGAGTTGCGGTAGAGAAGACGGGCGGGGAGAAACACGGGCACCCGCCGCGCTGCGGGCCCAGCTAGGAGATCCCCAGCACGGCCCTTGGCCTGCTCTCTGTCTTGTTCAGGGATGTAACCTCAGGGCACCTCCTGGGGAGGGTCTTGTCGTGCACACTCAGCGTGTGTGTCCCTGGAGCGCAGGAGCGCGGGGCTCCTGATAGCAGCTCCCCAGTCTCCACAGGCCGGTTGAATGGCACATCTCCCTGGGAGGCTCCCTCCGCCACGCTGCTGCTCCTGTCCCTGCACTCAGCCCTCACCTGCCTGCCAAGTACTGGGTCCGCATGGGCGTAGAGTCCCCATGTCACGTGGGAGAAGGGGACAGTGTTTAGTGCGGGGTATTCTGAAGCTTTCTTCGAGTTCCTGTGCCCACACGAGTCAGTGGGCACCGTACACATCAAATGTGGAATGAGTTAAAGCACCTCTAGGCCTGAACCTAGGCCTCTGCTGCCAACAACATGAAGGGGCCCCTTTTCCAGCCGTCCCCCTGGAGGCCAAAGGGGGATGTCCCCACCCACGGTTGGGCCTGAGCTGGAGTGGACAGTTGGTTAGGGTCAGAAAGTACTAGGCTTTTTTTTTTTTTTTTTTTTTCTGAGATGGAGTCTTGCTCTGTCCCCCTGCCTGGAGTGCAGTGGCACCCCTTCAGCTCACAGCAACCTCCGTGTCCCTGGTTCAAGTGACTCTCCTGCCTTAGCCTCCTGAGTAACTAGAATTACAGGTGCGCGCCACCACACGCGGCTAAGAACTGGGCTTCTTATGCCCCAGCTGTAGGGCAGTGTCCTAGTCCTGGTCCAGACATTGGCCCTGAGCACCAGATGACCCCGCCTCATGCCATCTGGGGGTAGGGAGGGGAGACCCCGGGGAGGGGGCAAGAAACAGTGCTCCTCCCTGTTGATGCTGTGGGGTCCCAGGTGTCTGGACAAGGCCGAGCAGGAGGTGGCGACTGCCCCATCTATGCTAGTGCCTGTTGACAGGACTTTGAAGGACACTGGACGGGGGGAAGCCCTCCCCACAGCCTCCACCCTACCCAAAGTGCCAGGCGTGAGGAAATGCAAAACACACCACTCACCTGCAGCTGGGATGCCCCACCATCCCCGGACCAGCACAAGGAAAGGCTGGCAGTGGAAAGCCACCAGCAGGACTGACACCGGGGCAGGTGGTGTCAGGCTCCCTCCTGCAGCCCAGGCAGGCTGGGATATTAGAGGAATTATTTCTCAACAATCAAAATAGCTGTAGTCAGGTGCAGTGGCTCACACCTGTAATCCCAGCCACTGGGGAGGCTGAGGCTGTTGGATCCCTTGAGCCCAGGAGTTTGAGACCTGCCTGGGCAACATGGGGAAACCCAGTTGCTACAAAAATTTGCCGATCGTGGTGGCACGCATGCACCTGTAGTCCCAGCTCCTTGGGAGGCTGAAATGGGAGGATCCCTTGAACCTGGGAGGTCAGGGCTGCAGTGAGCTGTGATTGCATGCACTCAGCCTGGGTGACTGAGTGAGTGAGACCCTGTCGCAAAAAACAACTGTGTTGGTTTCCTGATTAAAGAACACGTGCAGGCCAGCTTGGTGGCCCATGCCTGTAATCCTAGCACTTTGGGAGGCCGAGACAGGCAGATTGCCTGAGCTCCGAAGTTTGAGACCAGCCTGGGCAACACAGTGAAACCCTGTCTCTACTAAAATACCAAAAATTAGCCGGGTGTGGTGGCACGCCTGTAGTCCCAGCTACTTGGGAGGCTGAGGTAGGAGAATTGCTTGAACCTGGGAGGCAGAGGTTGCAATGAGCCAAGATTGTGCCACTGCACTCCAGCCTGGGTGACCCAGCGAGACTCTGTCTCCAAAAAAAAAAGAGCACGTGCTCGGCAGTCAACAGTCAGTTACAAGTATTCAGCAGCACACTGTCCCAGTTAGGGAATCTGGTTAGGGAGGAGGTTAGGGATCTGGTTAGAGGAGGTTAGGGGTCTGGTTAGAGGAGGTTAGGGGTCTGGTTAGAGGAGGTTAGGGATCTGGTTAGGGAGGTTAGGGATCTGGTTAGAGGAGGTTAGGGGTCTGGTTAGAGGAGGTTAGGGATCTGGTTAGGGAGGTTAGGGATCTGGTTAGAGGAGGTTAGGGGTCTGGTTAGAGGAGGTTAGGGATCTGGTTAGGGAGGTTAGGGATCTGGTTAGAGGAGGTTAGGGATCTGGTTAGAGGAGGTTAGGGATCTGGTTAGAGGAGGTTAGGGATCTGGTTAGAGGAGGTTAGGGATCTGGTTAGAGGAGGTTAGGGGTCTGCTTAGAGGAGGTTAGGGGTCTGGTTAGAGGAGGTTAGGGATCTGGTTAGGGAGGTTAGGGATCTGGTTAGAGGAGGTTAGGGGTCTGGTTAGAGGAGGTTAGGGATCTGGTTAGGGAGGTTAGGGATCTGGTTAGAGGAGGTTAGGGGTCTGGTTAGAGGAGGTTAGGGATCTGGTTAGGGAGGTTAGGGATCTGGTTAGAGGAGGTTAGGGGTCTGGTTAGAGGAGGTTAGGGATCTGGTTAGGGAGGTTAGGGATCTGGTTAGAGGAGGTTAGGGGTCTGGTTAGAGGAGGTTAGGGATCTGGTTAGGGAGGTTAGGGATCTGGTTAGAGGAGGTTAGGGATCTGGTTAGAGGAGGTTAGGGATCTGGTTAGGGAGGTTAGGGATCTGGTTAGAGGAGGGTAGGGGTCTGGTTAGAGGAGGTTAGGGATCTGGTTAGGGAGGTTAGGGATCTGGTTAGAGGAGGTTAGGGATCTGGTTAGAGGAGGTTAGGGATCTGGTTAGAGGAGGTTAGGGGTCTGGTTAGAGGAGGTTAGGGAGGTTAGGGATCTGGTTAGAGTAGGTTAGGGGTCTGGTTAGAGGAGGTTAGGGATCTGGTTAGGGAGGTTAGGGATCTGGTTAGAGTAGGTTAGGGGTCTGGTTAGAGGAGGTTAGGGATCTGGTTAGAGGAGGTTAGGGATCTGGTTAGAGGAGGTTAGGGATCTGGTTAGGGAGGTTAGGGATCTGGTTAGAGGAGGTTACGGATCTGGTTAGAGGAGGTTACGGATCTGGTTAGAGGAGGTTAGGGATCTGGTTAGAGGAGGTTAGGGGTCTGGTTAGGGAGGAGGTTAGGGGTCTGGTTAGAGGAGGTTAGGGATCTGGTTAGAGGAGGTTAGGGATCTGGATAGGGAGGTTAGGGATCTGGTTAGAGGAGGTTAGGGGTCTGGTTAGAGGAGGTTACGGATCTGGTTAGAGGAGGTTAGGGATCTGGTTAGAGGAGGTTAGGGATCTGGTTAGAGGAGGTTAGGGGTCTGGTTAGAGGAGGTTAGGGGTCTGGTTAGAGGAGGTTAGGGATCTGGTTAGAGAGGTTAGGGGTCTGGTTAGGGAGGAGGTTAGGGGTCTGGTTAGAGGAGGTTAGGGATCTGGTTAGGGAGGAGGTTAGGGGTCTGGTTAGAGGAGGTTAGGGATCTGGTTAGGGAGGAGGTTAGGGATCTGGTTAGGGAGGAGGTTAGGGGTCTGGTTAGGGAGGAGGTTAGGGATCTGGTTAGAGGAGGTGAGGGGTCTGGTTAGAGGAGGTGAGGGATCTGGTTAGGGAGGAGGTTAGGGATCTGGTTAAGGAGGAGGTTAGGGATCTGGTTAGAGGAGGTTAGGGATCTGGTTAGAGGAGGTTAGGGATCTGGTTAGGGAGGTTAGGGATCTGGTTAGAGTAGGTTAGGGGTCTGGTTAGAGTAGGTTAGGGATCTGGTTAGAGGAGGTTAGGGATCTGGTTAGAGGAGGTTAGGGATCTGGTTAGGGAGGTTAGGGATCTGGTTAGAGGAGGTTAGGGGTCTGGTTAGAGGAGGTTACGGA